AAGTGTTTGCCAAGAAGGTAATCTATGTTAGAAATATATCTTTTGATTTACTCCTTGATATTCATTCAATGTGAACTGAAAAATTGTTATGTTTATTCTCATTCTTTAACACAATATTATGCTAATAAAAAAATAAAATATCTTTCCATATTGTTTGATTCCAATTTTAGATGTGAATGAATGCAGGAACTTTCCCTGTCAAAACAATGGCGTGTGTACAAATTTTCAGGGAGGATTTGACTGTACTTGTAGGCCTGGGTTTACAGGAGCACTTTGTGAACTAGGTTTAACACTTATCTTTATTATTTTCCCTTATAACAAGTTAACATACACTGTAAAATATTGGATTTCTTTTATTTGTTTAATTCTTAGGGGATTTAGGGGTTAGATGGGAATGAATTCTAATTTTTTACAAAAATGTGCTTACTTTTTGGCAGACATAAATGAATGCTTATCTGGACCTTGCAAAAACAATGTTCCTTGCGTCAACACACATGGTTCGTATATATGCGCATGTGTGGATAATTGGGGTGGAAAGCATTGCGAAATAGGTAAGGAAACTTTCGAAACTTGCACCTTACCCCTTTCTGATATGAATTTTTTTAAATGTATGTATTTGTAATACATATTCAAATTGATAGTTATTTTTCAGACTTGTGTTGGACAAAACCAGCCCAGTTAGTATTTGTTGTTGACACTTCGCTCAGTACCACCGACAAAATACTTCAACAACAGAAAGACTTCATATCTGACGTCATTTCAAGAATTTCCCTCTCAAACGAAAAATTCAAAGTAGCGGTAGCATCATATGGAACAAATACAAGCATCGACATTGGGTTCGATTCCTACCAAAACAATAAAACAGTACTGCTGGAGCACGTCTCCAAAGTTTCAGTCAGGAATGGAAAAACGGACATTCATGACGCCTCATACAAGGTGAGAGATATCTTGAATGAAACCAAAGGGAGTAACCAGTTTGTCTTCTTCTTCACGGACGGGATGCCAACTGATCTACAACTAGCTATAAATGGAACAGGGGAGTTACGAGCACGTTTGCTGAACTCTAGCTTTAATAATGCTTTGTTGTTCGTGGCTTTTGGTGAAGACGTAAGACATGAGGGTTTAAAAAGATTGTCTGGAGATCCACATTATGATGATGTTTTCACGCATACTTCCATGGATCCGATGTATTACGCGATGAAGAGACTGGTAGATAGAAAATGTACAGGTAATGTACATATATTGATTGAAATACCCGGGTATTTACATGTAACTATATATTTTGGAAAACAGTTTGACAAAAATATCACTATAAATAGTACATCCATTCATTTAACCGTACCTTTACAGCTGTATACACTCTTATTCTTTTGTATAAATTCACTTTTCTTCTTTTTATTTTTTCGACCTGTTTATCAATTTATCTTTTCAGCATGTTTTCATCAATTTATGGTGGATCTTATGTTCGTTATTGACGTATCTTCAATTCTACCACAAGAAACATTCTCCGGTAGTTTAAGAGTCATCAACTCAATTTTAGAGCGCCTAAAACTTGTAACTTCTTTGGGACAAAATGAAACTCAATTTGGAGCTGTTTATTTTTCAAATGAACCTCACCTGTTAATGCACTTGAACGAGACATACGATTTTGATAGTTGTGCAAGCAGAATTATGGGAATAGAACAAGATTGCACAAGCTATCGGAATTCCTCTACAAATGTAGCAAGAGCTTTGGAATTTACACGAACCCATCTTTTGTCCCCCGAACACGGTGCTAGAAATTCATCTCGAAAACTTCTGATCCATATCTACACCGGATTTGATGTTAATATTACAGAGTCTGTGAAGGTGACACAGTCATTAACGAGGGACAATATTACCGTCTTTTCAATTGGAGTCGGAGACAAATACAAGGATGAAGACGTTTTATCTACTGCTTCCAGTGCATTTCATGCTTATTTTGCAGAATATACTGAAATGGACCAAAGCTGGAGGCTTACAGACACAGAATTAAACTTTATTAGCAAGATATACTCAATACTTTGTACGGAGAGGGTAAATGCTTAAAGCATTCTTTAAAATCGCAGCGACTTCATTAACTTGTACATTTATTGTCTTACAACTTCTTTGGAAAATGTTCAGAATATGTCTGAAAAAAAAGCAATAGCTTACAATAATTTCACAAATCAAGACCTTTATTTATTTATTGCATACTTATTTGTATTTTGAAATTATTATATTAAAATACTACTTTTCATTCAGCCTTTCCGATCAAAGTTTTACGTCGTTTGCAATATTGGTCGTCACATTAGTTTTTAACTCGCATGTTTTCTTGTCATCATTACAGTTTGTTCATGAATAATATGATAAGCGACACAGGTGTGTATAAATTTCCTACAATCCATAATGATTAAACTTTCAGAATTTTCATGTAATTCTTGTTCTTTACAATAAAACCCTGAAAATAAATAGAAACACCAGAGGATAAAATGTTCAAAAGCCTTAAGAGGAAGTCAAAACCGATTTCGATCTGTTAATTAATAACGGGTGACATTAATTGCGTAATGTGGACTGTTGCAAAACCATCCTTCACTTAGTTAATATTGTCTGATACAACTGTTTTTATTATACTTTCATGTTAAATACTAAAACATCAGACGCAGTTAACAATAAAATGTGACAACGGGTAACACAACGGTAATGCCACATGCATGGAAATTATGCGCGTACGGTTCAGTAGAATTCTCAAAATGTCAGTTGCGCAAAACCGAATTAACTTGACGTCAATAAAAGCTTGCGTCCGATATAGCTTTACATGCTTGCAAGTGTAGGAAACATGCTTGCGAGCCAGAAGTAACGAAACTTTATATGATAAATGACTCTAATTCGAGTATCAAACAAAGAATAAGGAGATTAGTGAACCGGTGAGTGTGAAAGCTTTCTATACATGAACGTAAAGACGATCGACGGTTTTTTTTCATTCATTAGACATTCAGTATGATAAAATCATTTACTTAATATTCAACCTCCGCTGACGCGTCGGTTGACAATGGTTTTCCTTGGGGTGTCAATTTCAAATGTTACCCTCCAAAACAGGCACCATTTATATACGATTACTGCAAATGACTATGGGACCTTTTAATCAAATCAAGTTTTTTAATGATTAAATATACTTCGAGGTACAATGTCATGTATATCACGAAAAACATGTCTTTCACTACAACGTTTGGTAAAATATGTCAGTTTCAACAAATTTCTCTTCAAAATAATGAGAATGCATTTGTTTTTTATTCCTTCCTTTACATATGAAAGAATGAAGATTTTCATTATTTTTCTCCGAATAAAATATTTTCCTTTGACATATATAGAAGATGCTTCTTTGGCAATATAATTTCATATATCAATTATAATATTCATTAGTATGCTTTACAATATGTGATCATTGTTAGCTATGCTTTAATTCTATTGCTACAATACACATGTTCAAACTTCAACATAAATTTTAAATCTGTTTCAGTGATATACCAGCAATTATCCTTCCATTTTTCGCTGAAGAAAGCATAGTAAGCACTGTATGCTGTCTGAAGAACATCTTTCTAGTCAAATTTTTCTCCAACACCAATAGATATCACAGTTACATTTTCATTTGTCAATCTTCTTGTTTTTAACAGATTTTGTTGTGTTTTTGTCATATCCTGTATACGTATGAATAATGTACTTTCGAGAATTTTTCCTACCTCAATTTTTTAATGACAGAGCTTCCGATGAAATGAAACGGAAACCCTTCGCAACATAAGGGGTAGAATTCATTTGTTTACAGTCTTGTTCTGATTTTAAGAAAAATCCAGCAAAATTGTTTATATCTTGCGACTGGTTCAGTCTTGTCATAAGTACTGATTCTGAAGAAATATGGACGGCACCGATTTGTAAGTCATTTTCACCGAACACAAAGTTTTGTTGAAGTTTTTGCAAATTGGTTTCACATTCACATTTACAAAAGTAGTTCCCCTTTGCAGGGTCAACCAGGGTCAACTGGCGTAAGGTACTGTTTTCCCTATATAACCTTACCAACTATTTGGGTCAGTATCTTAGAAATAAAATCTATATGAATATGTTAAATTTTTCATGTTGCCCCACACTCTGGCAATACAGGTACAGATCGAAATTGTCCGATAACGTGTGAAGATTAAAAATATTAACAGATAAGTTACAAAAGACAAAGTGGGGAAAATGAGCGTTACGCCGACAACGAGAGATAACTCTTAGGAATGTGAAATTCGCCTATATTGATAGACTAGAGGTAAAAGTAGTTTATCCTGTAGCGATGATGTATCAAGAGCCAAAATGAGATCAAATGACCTTTATTCTTTGCATGCTATAAGAGAAAAAATAATTAAAGTATTATATTTAGAATATAAATGTCTTGATATCAATATAATATCAATATTGTCGGAATATCCCTTTTTGTGTAATGCGGATACCTATGATTATACAATAGTGAATTTCCAAACGATAAAAACAAATTTAACTTGCACTTTACCGCAAATAGATATTTTTTTTCTAATCTTTGATTTAAATGAATTATTCTGATGAAAGTTTGTCTTTGAAAGTTAAAGTTTAGTCTTTAAAATTTTCATTCAAAATCATTTACACGTAGTTTTCTTGTTTAAGAAAAAGTAGCGAAAAAATATGAACGTACCAGAGCACTTGGCGTTCACCAGTTTCTTAAAAATATGATACAGAGCGTCCATGTTTGCATCACTTAAAACATTTTTTCCATCGCCATTTGAAGACAACCCGCGTAGACCTTCGTGACGTATATCTTCACCAACCTCAACAAGAATGACGTCATTCAATGGCATAGTTTGATACCTGGTCGAGTAATGCAATGCTTTTGTTATATGCGCAAAAAAGGGATATCAACTAGAGCATCAGATCCATAAGATACAAGTGCTATGTCAATTTTTTCTTCAGAAACTGTTATTCTTTTAATGACTTTGGAAACAAAATGCACTTGATCTTTCAAGATTGACTCCGTGGTGCTAAGGGAAGAATCCATTGCAAAAACTATCTGTGCATGGATTGTTTTGCATAAATCTATAAATATAAAATCATAAGAGTACTAATAGCGAGCGCAGCGAGCTCAATAGACCAACGTGTTAGAACAGAGGAAATTTGGAATTAAACCTACACATACGTCAAGCACATTTTTGTGTGAAACCTTCCCAAATTCCTGTACCACCCAATAACCTTTGCGCGAATAAATAAATAAATAAATAATAACGTAAATCATAACAGGCTTTCAGTTTGTAGAAATCTTTGAAAGAAACAAAAAATAACTCTGCAATGTCTTTCGACAAAAATTGCACTAGGTCTGTAGTATGCAGTTATGGAATGGGTACGAGGGAAATAGCAAACTTATGGCTCCCCGCTTTACGTTATTATTTTTTTTTGTATAGAGTAATTACAGATGAGGAAAAATAATTGATGCACTTCGATTGTTCAAATAATACCCAATAGCAGAGAAGAAGATTTTTTTTAAAAATTAATGTATCTTTACTAAATAATCGAAAGAGCCACGCCCTAACACCAAAGCCCCTGAAGTAGGGGCCATGAAATTTACAATTTCGGCAAAGGCATCAATGATTATCATAACCATGCATTTAGTTTGTTTAAATAATACCTAGGATCAGAGAAGAATCTCTAAGAATTAATGCATTTTTAAATTTTTACTATATACTCAATAGAGCCCTACCCCTAACACCAAAACCCCATGACCCAGGAAATTCTCAATTTAAAAAAAGCATCTTTGTGTATTAAAAGCATGCACTTAGTTTGTTTTAAATAAAACCAAGGAGCAGGAAAGAAGATGTTAAAAGAATTGATGTATTTTCACTAAATAATCAATAGAGCCAAGTCCTAACACCAGAGCCCCTGACCCAGGAGCCATGAAATTTTATTTTGGAAAAGGCATCAATGCTTATCATAACCATGCACTTAGTTTAATTAAATAGTACCCAGGAGCATTGTTATAATCCTTTTCGTAAAAAAAAATCTTCCATATCAAAGATTTCAAGTCAAATGAACTGAACAAACATGGTGCACACACATGCATAAAAAATTCTACAGTATGGAGTCAGATGACAAAATGATGTTCTTATTTCCTAGATTTATGGTTTTGTGAACACATGGACTCTTTGAAGTCCACTCCCTCTGTAGTGTTGTTTCCAGTTAGTGGCGAGATACGGGTATCTTATTTTTCCATAATATCGTCCACCATTATATCCAATATAGCCTTTTCCATTATCATACATTACTCCTATAGTCAGCGATCCCCCTTTCTTTGTAACACACCATGCCCTGGCGATTGCTATGATATCTCCCCAAGGATTAAGTCCATCGCCATATCTACCTAGTCCAGAATGTTCCACAGAGCTGAATGTTACCACAGCGTCAAATTCACCAAGTTTATTGTTCAGAAACGCCTTGCTAAATTCTCTAGGAGTGAAAGTTTTAATTTTTGGATGTAGGGATTTAATTTCTCCATATTCAAGAGTTACAACTTCTTTTGCTCCAGCCTCCAATACGCATGCCTCAACCCATGGATTCTCAGACCCTATAACTAAGACGCGTCCACCTTTGATGCCAAGAGCATGCCGCATCCCATCTCTTAACGCGTTTGTTTCGGAAATTCCATAATTTCCTCCTAAAGCCCCTCTCTTTGCCAGCGAGACCATTTGTTCTACGCTTGCTTTTGTCCATACTGGCGTTCTAGCCTTTTGGGCAAAGTATGGATTGTTAAAATAATAATCTGATACTGGCAGCCGAAAATTCATTGTAAAATCCTTGAGAAGTTTTTTTGGAATCTTTTTTGTTGCCACTTTCAAACCATGCCCTTTAATATCAATGTATTCATTTCTGAAAATTGCTATACAGTTTATTGGTGCCGTAACATGGTTAAAATACGGACCTGGAGTGCCAGGCCGTGACGTATTGCATAGTTGCCCACAGTCGCTTCGTATTACTTCTATTTCGGCATACGGTATACCATCAGGACCTTTAGGAAGAGGATTATATTTCCTGTAGGTTTCTGTTCGTGGAACAGGATCGAAGATGGGAGGGCTTTTTATGTACTGATCCCAATGGTTTTGCCACACGAAAAACATGAAACTGGCCATAATAACAAGAATTCCCAGCAAGCTGCATTTATTTCTTGAGACTTCTGTGATGGTTGCAATTCTGAAATGGAAAGGAAAATAATTATATAATTGAAACATGGTTTTGGTTTGGTATTTTGAGCCTCATTGTGTGAAAGTTTTCATGCTACCTTGTATATAAAATGTAATGGTCTTGTTTCTTAAAGGTAACACACTATGCAGATCGAAAAGGAAATGTATATTGATATTACATGAAGTTGACGTTTAAAAATCTTTTGCTAAATATTAGCATGTTTCGTACCCTATTTTCCCATAATTTTCACATAATTTTTATTGATTTAATTTTTGGTGTTGGATTTTTATTCAAAGGTTCTTTTGCTGAAAATGAATATTTTTTTAATTGATTATCGACTGGGCAATATCTATCACAATAGTGAGACTTGTCCCTAAATAAAATATTAAATGGGGAAAATGTCTTGTGTTAAAATTCAAATATCTGTACATGTATAATAACTTTCTCTTTAATTTACATCTGACAGCCATCTGGAGTTGAGGGGCAACTAGTAAAAAAACTTCTATGCAAATTTTGATCAGAAATAGATAACTTAAACCTTTCGCTAAGGCGAACAAAAAACCAGATGTATGCTAAATTTTATTTGCCAGAAGAATGAAAAATGAAGTCGTCGTTTAATCAACCCAATATTGAGTGATTGGTGCTATGATCATATCAGTTTCTCCAATTTCATGGATCACAATCTATTCCCCATTTTCTGCAGTGACGATGTGGAGTATCGTTATTTACATTCAAATTTTCCCTGAAATGAATTTAGACACTGTGTTGTAATAATAAAGTATGAAATGACCAAGAGTCATGTTTTGTCGACCTTGATGGATTGTATATTGTTTAACTCCCTCTCGAGAATTTCTAACTCACATTCTAACCACTGCACCACGCGGGCGACATGTCGACCTTGAAGTAAAACTTCAAACTTTACTATGATTTATTACCATATCTGTAAGGCTGAGCGTATAGAAACTAATCCATTACACAATACCAAGGCGGGTCGAGTTAAGTTAAGATCTCTGAAAGAAATTACCTCGTTATATTTTTTTACGTGTTGCAGTGGTAGAAAAAAAAATATTAACTGTGCCTTGCACAGTAAAGATGGTAAACACAATAAACTGTTGTGATTTGATAGGGGTATTAAAAGTTGCTAACTCTAAACCATGCACAAACATTTCTCTGCTGATCATGATCAGCCATAGCAAGTTTTTTCTACGTAAATTGGACATTCATGGTCGGTTTCAAAAGTCGTAAGAATGTTTTTTTTAAAGAAGATTGGCACGTTAAAATCTCAAATCGGCACTGAAAAATGATTCAAGTTAGATTAGTTCTTGACACATTACAACATTGGATAATAATATTTCTTGTGAATAAACCTTGTGAAGAAAATAAGGATGGCCAGTAAGACTCATGTGAGCACTGTGACCGATAGGCCTTTAGATTAATTTTGTTCTTGTATGTGCATGTGTCTTGTATCAGATCATCTGATTAAAATAATTAATTCAACCACTTAATGTTAAAATCCGTTTCTTGGTTATGCAAGTACTTAACCTCCCATTGTGTTATGCCATTATATCCTGCTATATATATTAAAAATACTGAACGGAACTTATAGTCATCTATAGCTACATTCATTTCTTTTGACAGATGAGAAAGATGAATAGAGTCCTTAAGCTACCAATTGTTTTCACACACCTTAAATATATGGATGAATATACAGATGGACGGAATACTAAAAAAAACTGATTGACAGATAATCAAATGCATTTGAAAATTCATTTTCACTGTCGAAAAAAAAGCAATTTATACAGGTATTTGAAACTTATAAATGTAACTAGTATTCACTAAAATTTGGTTGTTGAATCTTTAAATTATGTTAGATTAATCCCTCTTTGTGTTTAGTAGGAGCAAGTGAATGTCATATAAAGGTATCGTTAGCATTTTATCCTCGGACTCAATCGTATAAAGCGATGAGAATTGTTCCAAAGCCACATAATTTTTAATAAATAAGAGAAATATAAGGAAAATGTATCTAAGTTCAGTGTTGACAAAATACAATGGAAAAAATATGAATTAAAAAAATAAATACCTTGATGATGAAATATTCATTTCTCCCTCAACTCCAGTTTGAATATTGTTAAATAAAAATGCAATCTATATTTTGTAATATAAGTTTTGTCATACATAAAGCCTTGAAAACGTCAGTTATGTCGGACTAAAGCAACCTCTAAACATGGCTTATAAGTCAGAATAAATTCTGCTTCAGATCACTTACCCGGTCTCACATGGGAAATAGATACTTAAGATCCAGGATCAAAAGCAACCCTGGAACATGAAAGTGCATATCTAGAGGCATCTAGGACTGCAATTAGGGATGTACATTTATTTACTAGACTTGCTTCTAGAATATTTGCCTAGATTTTATCTCTTTGGCTTTGTATACATTTTTATATGCATAATCCTTGCTAATTGTCACCATTGGGCAAAGTTAACAAGCTCATATACCCCACGCTCCACCAAAACTCGAAGTGCTGAATTTGTCGGGAAAAATAAAGGAATCCGAATTTCCTGGTAATATGCACAAACGAAAAATTCAAAGTAGCGGTAGCATCATATGGAACAAATACAAGCATCGACATTGGGTTCGATTCCTACCAAAACAGTAAAACAGTACTGCTGGAGCACGTCTCCAAACTTTCAGTCAGGAATGGAAAAACGGACATTCATGACGCCTCATACAAGGTGAGAGATATCTTGAATGAAACCAAAGGGAGTAACCAGTTTGTCTTCTTCTTCACGGACGGGATGCCAACTGATCTACAACTAGCTATAAATGGAACAGGGGAGTTACGAGCACGTTTGCTGAACTCTAGCTTTAATAATGCTTTGTTGTTCGTGGCTTTTGGTGAAGACGTAAGACATGAGGGTTTAAAAAGATTGTCTGGAGATCCACATTATGATGATGTTTTCACGCATACTTCCATGGATCCGATGTATTACGCGATGAAGAGACTGGTAGATAGAAAATGTACAGGTAATGTACATATATTGATTGAAATACCCGGGTATTTACGTGTAACTATATATTTTGGAAAACAGTTTGACAAAAATATCACTATAAATAGTACATCCATTCATTTAACCGTACCTTTACAGCTGTATACACTCTTATTCTTTTGTATAAATTCACTTTTCTTCTTTTTATTTTTTCGACCTGTTTATCAATTTATCTTTTCAGCTTGTTTTCATCAATTTATGGTGGATCTTATGTTCGTTATTGACGTATCTTCAATTCTACCACAAGAAACATTCTCCGGTAGTTTAAGAGTCATCAACTCAATTTTAGAGCGCCTAAAAGTTGTAACTTCTTTGGGACAAAATAAAACTCAATTTGGAGCTGTTTATTTTTCAAATGAACCTCACCTGTTAATGCAATTGAACGAGACATACGATTTTGATAGTTGTGCAAGCAGAATTATGGGTATAGAACAAGATTGTACAAGCTTTCGGAATTCCTCTACAAATGTAGCAAGAGCTTTGGAATTTACACGAACCCATCTTTTGTCCCCCGAACACGGTGCCAGAAATTCATCTCGAAAACTTCTGATCCATATGTACACCGGATTTGATGCTAATATTACAGAGTCTGTGAAGGTGACACAGTCATTAACGAGGGATGATATTACCATCTTTTCAATTGGAGTCGGAGACAAATACAAAGATGAAGACGTTTTATCTACTGCTTCCAGTGCATTTCATGCTTATTTTGCAGAATATACTAAAATGGACCAAAGTTGGAGGCTTACAGACACAGAATTAAACTTTATTAGCAAGATATACTCAATACTTTGTACGGAAAGGGTAAATGCTTAAAGCAACCTTAAAATGGCAGCGACTTCATTCACTTATACATTTATTGTCTTACAACTTCTTTGGAAAATGTTCAGAATATATCTGAAAAAGCAATAGCTTACAATAATTCCACGAATCAAGACCTTTATTTATTGCATACTTATTTGTATTTTTAAATTATTATATTAGATTACTACTTTTCCTTCAGCCTTTCCTGTCAAAGTTTTACGTCGTTTGCAATATTGGTCGTCACATTAGTTTTTAACTCGCATGTTTTCTTGTCATCATTACAGTTTGTTCATGAATAATATGATAAGCGACACAGGTGTGTATAAATTTCCAACAATCCATAATGATTAAACTTTCAGAAATCTCATGTAATTCTTGTTCTTTACAATAAAACCCTGAAAATAAAAAGAAACATCAGAGGATAAAATGTTCAAAAGCCTTAAAAGGAAGTCAAAACCGATTTCGATCTGTTAATTAATAGCGGGTGACATTAATTGCGTAAAATGGACTGTTGCAAAACCGTCCTTCATTTACTTAATATTCTCTGATACAACTGTTTTGATTACTGCAAATGACTATGGGAACTTTTAATCAAATTAAGTTTTTTAATGATTAAATATACTTCGAGGTACAATGTCATGTATATCACAAAAAACATGTCTTTCACTGCAACGTTTGGCAAAATATGTCAGTTTCAACAAATTTCTCTTCAAAATAATGAGAATGCATTTGTTTTTTATTCCTTCCTTCACATATGAAAGAATGAAGATTTTCATTATTTTTCTCCGAATAAAATATTTCCCTTTGACATATATAGAAGATGCTTCTTTGGCAATATGATTTCATATATCAATTATAATATTCATTAGTATGCTTTACAATATGTGATCATTGTTAGCTATGCTTTAATTCTATTGCTACAATATACATGTACATGTTCAAACTTCAACATAAATTTAAATCTGTTTCAGTGATATACCAGCAATTATCCTTCCATTTTTCGCTGAAGAAAGCATAGTAAGCTCTGTATGCTGTCTGAAGAACATCTTTCTAGTCAATTTTTTCTCCAATACCAATAGATATCACTGTTACATTTTCATTTGTCAATCTTCTTGTTTTTAACAGATTCTGTTGTGTTTTTGTCATATCCTGTATACGTATGAATAATGTACTTTCGAGAATTTTTCCTACCTCAATTTTTTAATGACAGAGCTTCCGATGAAATGAAACGGAAACCCTTCGCAACATAAGGGGTAGAATTTATTTGTTTACAGTCTTGTTCTGATTTTAAGAAAAATCCAGCAAAATTGTTTACATCTTGCGACTGGTTCAGTCTTGTCATAAGTACTGATTCTGAAGAAATATGGACGGCACCGATTTGTAAGTCATTTTCACCGAACACAAAGTTTTGTTGAAGTTTTTGTAAATTGGTTTCACATTCACATTTACAAAAGTAGTTCCCCTTTGCAGGGTCAACCAGGGTCAACTGGCGTAAAATACTGTTTTCCCTCTATAACCTTACCAACTATTTGGGTCAGTATCTTAGGAATAAAATCTATATGAATATGTTAAATTTTTCATGTTGCCCCACACTCTGGCAATACAGGTACAGACCGAAATTGTCCGATAACGTGTGAAGATTAAAAACATTAACAGATAACTTACAAAGGACAAAGTGGGGAAAATGAGCGTTACGCCGACAACGAGAGATAACTCTTAGGAATGTGAAATTCGCCTATATTGATAGACTAGAGGTAAAAGTAGTTTATCCTGTATCGATGATGTATCAAGAGCCAAAATGAGATCAAATGACCTTTGTCCTTTGCATGCTATCAGAGAAAAAATAATTAAATTATTATATTTAGAATATAAATGTCTTGATATCAATATAATATCAATATTGTCGGAATATCAATTTTTGTGTAATGCGGATACCTATGATTATACAATAGTGAATTTCCAAACGATAAAAACAACTTACACTTTACCGCGAATAGATATTTTTTTCTAATCTTTGATTTAAATGAATTATTCTGATGAAAGCTTGTCTTTGAAAGTTAAAGTTTAATCTTTAAAATTTTCATTCAAAATCATTTACATGTAGTTTTCTTGTTTAAAAAAGTAGCGAAAAAAATATGAACGTACCAGAGCACTTGGCCTTTACCAGTTTCGTAAAAATATGATACAGAGCGTCCATGTTTGCATCACTTAAAACATTTTTGCCATCGCCATTTGAAGATAACCCGCGTAGGCCTTCGTGACGTATATCTTCACCAACCTCAACAAGAATGACGTCATTCAATGGCATAGTTTGATACCTGGTCGAGTAATGCAATGCTTTTGTTACATGCGCAAAAAGGGATATCAACTAGTGCATCAGATCCATAAGATGCAAGCGCTATGTCAAATTTTTCTATAGAAACTGTTATTCTTTTAATGACTTTGGAAACAAAATGCACTTGATCTTTCAAGATTGACTCCTTGGTGCTAAGGGAAGAATCCATTGCAAAAACTATCTGTGCATGGATTGTTTTTCATAAATCTACAAATATAAAATCATAAGAGTACTAATAGCGAGCGCAGCGAGCTCAATAGACCAACACGTAAGAACAGAGGAAATTTGAAATTAAATCTACACATACGTCAAGCACATATTTGTGTGAAACCTTCCCAAATTCCTGTACCACCCAATAACCTTTGCTCGAATAAATAAATAAATAATAGCGTAAATCAGAAAAAGGCTTTCAGTTTGTAGAAATCTTTGAAAGAAACAAAAAATTACTCTGCAATGTCTTTCGACAAAAATTGCACTAGGTCTATAGTATGCAGTTATGGAATGGGTACGAGGGAAATAGCAAATTTATGGCTCCCCGCTTTACGTTATTATTTATTTTGTATAGAGTAATTACAGAAGAGGAAAAATAATTTATGCACTTAGATTGTTCAAATAATACCCAATAGCAGAGAAGAAGATTTTTAAGAAATTAATGTATTTTAACTAAATAATCGAAAGAGCCACGCCCTAACACCAAAGCCCCTGAACCAGGGGCCATGAAATTCACAATTTCGGCAAAGGCATCAATGATTATCATAACCATGCATTTAGTTTGTTTAAATAATACCTAGGATCAGAGAAGAATCTCTAAGAATTAATGCATTTTTAAATTTTTACTATATACTTAATAGAGTCCTACCTCTAACACCAAAACCCCATGACCCATGAAATTCTCAATCTAAAAAAAAGCATCTTTGTGTATTAAAAGCATGCACTTAGTTTGTTTTAAATAAAACCAAGGAGCAGGAGAGAAGATTTTAAAAGAATTGATGTATTTTCACTAAATAATCAATAGAGCCAAGTCCTAACACCAGAGCCCATGACCCAGGAGCCATGAAATTTTTATTTTGGAAAAGGCATCAATGCTTATCATAACCATGCACTTAGTTTAATTAAATAGTACCCAGGAGCATTGTTATAATCCTTTTCGTAAAAAAAAATCTTCCATATCAAAGATTTCAAGTCAAATGAACTGAACAAACATGGTACACACACATGCATAAAAAATTCTACAGTATGGAGTCTGATGACAAAATGATGTTCTTATTTCCTAGATTTATGGTTTTGTGAACACATGGACTCTTTGAAGTCCACTCCCTCTGTAGTGTTGTTTCCAGTTAGTGGCGAGATACGGGTATCTTATTTTTCCATAATATCGTCCACCATTATATCCAATATAGCCTTTTCCATTATCAAACATTACTCCTATAGTCAGCGATCCCCCTTTCTTTGTAACACACCATGCCCTGGCGATTGCTATGATATCTCCCCAAGGATTAAGTCCATCGCCATATCTACCAAGTCCAGAATGTTCCACCGAACTGAATGTTACCACAGCATCAAATTCACCAAGTTTATTGTTCAGAAACGCCTTGCTAAATTCTCTAGGAGTGAAAGTTTTAATTTTTGGATGTAGGGATTTAATTTCTCCATATTCAAGAGTTACAACTTCTTTTGCTCCAGCCTCCAATACGCATGCCTCAACCCATGGATTCTCAGACCCTATAACTAAGACGCGTCCACCTTTGATGCCAGGAGCATGCCGCATTCCATCTCTTAACGCGTTTGTTTCGGAAATTCCATAATTTCCTCCTAAAGCCCCTCTCTTTGCCAGCGAGACCATTTGTTCTACGCTTGCTTTTGTCCATACTGGCGTTCTAGCCTTTTGGGCAAAGTATGGATTGTTATAATAATAATATGATACTGGCAGCCGAAAATTCATTGTAAAATCCTTGAGAAGTTTTTTTGGAATCTTTTTTGGTGCCACTTTCAAACCATGCCCTTTATCAATGTATTCATTTCTGAAAATTGCTATACAGTTTATTGGTGCCGTAACATGGTTAAAATACGGACCTGGAGTGCCAGGCCGTGACGTATTGCATAGTTGCCCACAGTCGCTTCGTATTACTTCTATTTCGGCATACGGTATACCATCAGGACCTTTGGGAAGAGGATTATATTTCCTGTAGGTTTCTGTTCGTGGAGCAGGATCGAAGATGGGAGGGCTTTTTGTGTACTGATCCCAATGGTTTTGCCACACGAAAAACATGAAACTGGCCATAATAACAAGAATTCCCAGCAAGCTGCATTTCTTTCTTGAGACTTCTATAATGGTTGCAATTCTGAAATGAAAAGGAAAATAATTATATAATTGAAACATGGTTTTGGTTTGGTATTTTGAGCCTCATTGTGTGAAAGTTTTCATGCTACCTTGTATATAAAAGGTAATGGTCTTGTTTCTTAAATGTAACACACTATGCAGATCGAAAAGGAAATGACGAAATGTATATTGATATTACATGAAGTTGACGTTTAAAAATCTTTTGCTAAATATTAGCATGTTTCGTACCCTATTTTCCCATAATTTTCCCATAATTTTTATTGATTTAATTTGGCGTTGAATTTTTATTCAAAGGTTCTTTTGCTGAAAATTAATATTTTTTTAATTGATTATCGACTGGGCAATATCTATCACAATAGTGAGACTTGTCCCTAAATAAAATATTAAATGGGGAAAATGTCTTGTGTTAAAATTCAAATATCTGTACATGTATAATAACTTTCTCTTTAATTTACATCTGACAGCCATCTGGAGTTGTGGGGCAACTAGTAAAAAAACTTCTATGCAAATTTTGATCAGAAATAGATAACTTAAGCCTTTCGCTAAGGCGAACTAAAAACCAGATGTATGCTAAATTTTATTTGCCAGAAGAATGAACAAGAGGCCCATGGGCCACATCGCTCACCTGAGAAGCTTTGACCATTCTGTTCTTTACCAGATTTCCCCCTTGTAATACATAATGCATCCCCACCCTACCCCACTGATCATAATTAAGACATTTTGAAATCTACACTACCCCATGATCCTTCCATGGGCACATATGTTTCAGCTTTTCTGGCCCAGTGGTTCTTGAGAAGAAGATTTTCAAAGATTTTTCATATATATATCTATGTAAAACTTTGATTCCCTATTGTGGCCCCGCCCTTCCCCCGGGGGTCATGATTTGAAAAATTTAGAATCTACACTATACCAGGATGCTTCCACATAAGTTTCAGCTTTTCTGGCCCAGTGTTTCTTGAGAAGAAGATTTTCAAAGATTTTCCTATATATTTCTATATAAAACTTTGATTCCCCATTGTGGCCCCACCCTTCCCCCAGGGGTCATGATTTGAACAATTTAGAATCTACACTATACCAGGATGCTTCCACATAAGTTTCAGCTTTTCTGGCTCAGTGGTTCTGGAGAAGAAGATTTTCAAAGATTTTTCCTATATATTTCTATGTAAAACTTTGATTCCCCATTATGGCCCCACCCTTCCCCCGGGGGTCATGATTTGAATAATTTAGAATCTACACTACCTCAGGATGCTTCCACATAAGTTTCAGCTTTTCTGGCCCAGTGGTTCTTGAGAAGAAGATTTTTTAATGACCCCACCCTATTTTTGTCTTTTCTTGATTATCTCCCCTGATGAGGGGACTTGGCCCTTTATTTTAACAATTTAAATTCCCCTTCACCCAAGGATGCTTTGTACCAAGTTTGGTCAAAATTGGCCCAGTGGTTCTTGAGAAGAAGTAGAAAATGTGAAAAGTTTACAGACGGACAGACAGACGGACAGACGGACAGACGGACGGACGGACGACGGACAAAATGTGATCAGAAAAGCTCACTTGAGCATTCGGCTCAGGTGAGCTAAAAACGAATTCATCGTTCAGTCAACCCAATATTGAGTGATTGGTGCTATGATCATATCAGTTTCTCCAATTTCATGGATCACAATCTATTCCCATTTTCTGCAGTGACGATGTGGAGTATCGTTATTTACATTCAAATTTTCCTTGAAATGAATTTAGACACTGTGTTGTAATAATAAAGTATGAAATGACCAAGAGTCATGTTTTGTCGACCTTGATGGATTGTATATTGTTTTACTCCCTCTCGAGAATTTCTAACTCACGTTCTAACCACTGCACCACGCGGGCGACATGTCAACCTTGAAGTAAAACTTCAAACTTTAATATGATTTATTACCATATCTGTAAGGCTGAGCGTATAGAAACTAATCCATTACACAATACCAAGGCGGGTCGAGTTAAGTTAAGGAAAGAAATTACCTCGTTATATTTTTTACGTGTTGCAGAGGTAGAAAAAAAATATTAACCGTGCCTTGCATTGTACAGTAAAGGTGGTAAACAAGTTTTTTTTCTACATGAATTGGACATTCATGCTCAGTTTCAAAAGTCGTAAGAATTTTGTTTTAAAAAGACGATTGGCACGTTAAAACCTCAAATCGGCACTGAAAATGATTCAAGTTAGATTAGTTCTTGACACATTACAACATTGGATAATAATATTTCTTGTGAATAAGCCTTGTGAAGAAAATAAGGATGGCCAGTAAGATTCATGTGAGCGCTGTGACCGATAGGCCTTTAGATTAATTTTGTTCTTGTATATGCATGTGTCTTGTATCAGATCATCTGACTGAAATAATTAATTCAACCACTTAATGTTAAAATGCGTTTCTTGGTTATGCAAGTACTTAACCTCCCATTGTGTTATATATCCTGCCATTATATCTTGCTATATATATTAAAAATACTGAACGGAACTTATAGTCATCTATAGCTACATTCATTTCTTTTGACAGATGAGAAAGATGAATAGAGTCCTTAAGCTACCAATTGTTTTCACACAACTTAAATATATGGATAAATATACAGATGGACAGAATACTAAAAAGAAACTGTGTGAACCAATGAGAAGGAAAATAATTTTTTCTAAGAATTTATTTAACAGTTATGAAATTATGAAAGAATACAAACAATGATCGTATAGTGGTTAAGAGAAAAGATAAAATGGCTCGTGATCGTATAGTGTCTCTACCTCCTAGAACGTAGCTCCAAAGAGCCCCGCTCTGAGAAGTGCGGCCCAGATGAGAGCGAGAGAGTGAGCTAGAGCAAAGAATATCTCGAAGATCGCCGTAGATAGTATTTATAATATACAATACATAATAATCATTTGCATATACGATAAACAAGTTATTCAATAAATGGGTCTAAATCCTGGAATTTTGACAAAACAATTTATAATCTAAACATAAGTTTTTGTAAACTGGTAGTCAGTGTCCTTGTATTAGGCAAAAGTAAGTATAACTTTAATATAAACTTTAATAATGTTCAGTTATTGTTCCTGGATTGATGTCCGTAGATAGATAAACATCCTGGTATGTTATATAGTCCTTAATCCGATTAACTTGTTTGTTTACTTTTACGGAAAAGTCTTACACTTCTGTATCCTTCTTGAATTAGGGGTCAGTGCACTCTATCACGAGTACATTTTAATAAAATTATTTTATTTTCTTGATTAAAATAATTGTCTCAAATCCTATAGGTTTACATTTGACAGATAATCAAATGCATAAAAAAAATTCATTTTCACTGTCGAAAAAAAAGCAATTTATAAAGGTATTTGAAACTTATACATGTAACTAGTATTCACTAAAATTTGGTTGTTGAATCTTTAAATTATGTTAGATTAATCCCTCTTTGTGCTTAGTAGGAGCAAGTGAATGTCATATAAAGGCATCGTTAGCATTTTATCCTCGGACTCAATCGTATAAAGCGATGAGAATTGTTCCAAAGCCACATAATTTTTAATAAATAAGAGAAATATAAGGAAAATGTATCTAAGTTCAGTGTTAACAAAATACAAAGGAAAAAATATGAATTAAAAAACTAAATACCTTGATGATGAAATATTCATTTCTCCCTCAACTCCGGTTTGAATATTGTTAAATAAAAATGCAATCTATATTTTGTAATATAAGTTTTGTCATACATAAAGCCTGGAAAACGTCATTTATGTCGGACTAAAGCAACCTCTAAACATGGCTTATAAGTCAGAATAAATACTGCTTCAGATCACTTACCCGGTCTCACAGGAAATAGATTAAGGTAATTCCATCCTCCTATGATGTCATAGGTTTTTGCAAAAACTGTAATTAGTTTACATTCATACCTAATAGAACAATATCTCTTGGAAGAATGCTTTACAATAGGTGCAATAATAAATATTGTTAAGTTAAAGAATTTGAAAAATGCATTTTTTCTATACTTAATCAATTATTTAATCTTTAAAAAATGTTGATAAGGGCAATAACTCCTTCTAGGGTCTCTTCATTCAGGCATTTGCTTTATTGTAAAATAGTTTCCCTGATATTCACAATTCAAAAGTATCTTTTAAGTAGGAAATATTTAGGAACATTCAGCATCAGAATTATGCATTTTAACCAGTTTTTACATATTTTTCATAATACTGTTTACAAAAAATGTGCGATTTTTTACGTTGACATACACTTCTGTTTATTTATGTTTCGTATCTTAAATAATATGGTGACCTATACATTTTTTGTAATAATTGGAAAATTTAAAGTATATTAAATGAAAATGAATGCAGTTTTTGTACTTTGAACCTATAAAATTGTGAGGGGGAAAATACCTTAAGAAATATAGGCATAACACTTGGAACGTCTTCTAGTTTGGTCATCTCAAGGAATCTCAACCTTCTCCATTTTCCTTTTAACAAACCAAATGCTCTTTCAATCATCTGACGAGTGTTGGAGTGTATGAAGTTGTACCTTTTGTGACACTCGGCCAGATTTCTTGTATATTTATATGGTGTTAAAATCCAACTGAAATGCAATACAAATAACTTGTACATAAAAATAATGTACATGATTTTCAAATCAAGATTTGTTTGTAAAATACTGATGCCCTCATGTGGCATCTTATGACGAGGGTTGAATTCTTTCAAATGCATATCAAACTCAAAACGTCAATGTCAAATGTCAAAAGTGTTGGTACCGAAAGGAGGGCCTTGTTACAAGGAATATACATGTGAAATATGAAAGACATAATTCTAGCTGTTCAAAAGTTATGACCAAGGTTGAAGTATTAAAAATGGGTCATACTCTTAGGTGAAGGTCAAAAGGTGAAAATATTTATACCAGATGAAAGTCATAGCTTGTACTGTTCAAAAGTTATGGCTAAGGTTAAAGAGTGTTATCTTTTTTTTTGTAGAAGTAGATCGAATTCCAAGGTCAAGAAGTTAAATTTGGTCTTGTCAAAGGGAATACACCTGTGAAATATGAAAGCCATAGCCCTACCCACTCAATAGTTTATGGGCTAGGTTAAAGTTAACTACAGACAGACAAAAACACTATATCCCAGGATCTTTCGATCCAGAGACGTAAAGAATATAATCTGCCCGTTTCTTTAAATGAATGTTGATTTTAATAACCTTTGCAGTGGATGTGCTGCATCTCCAACAATATGTGTATCGCCAGGAAAGAGGTTTTCGTTGGCCTCATAAAGGGGTGAATTTTTTAAGACCCTTGCATCGTGTACAGAACCAGGCCATCCGGATACAATGTCCGTGAACCGCAAAGTATGATCACACACTGCCTAAAAAGTAAAATGAATGGATTAAATCACAGGAATCATGGAGGCAATTAATATTATTTTTGAAACCGAATTATATGTTCACCTGTAAAATAACCGAATAGTCCCGTTTCCTATTCAGATAAGACATGGGATGGTATTTTTCTTGTGGAGCTTTTATCTGAATGTGACATCCGTCGACAGCCCCTAAAACTCGAGGGAAACCCATGAGGTTTTCAAAGCCTTCAATGACTTCATTTACCCTAGCTCCTGTAACGATAAATTCCAGTTTTATTATTTTACTGAATAATTTTTAAAAAAAGGGGGAGCACTTGGAAATGCTCCGTATAATTTTTAGATATATTGTTTACTGTAGAAAAGAAAAATACTTTTACTTCCCCCAATGATAATGTCATATTTTTTGTGAAGGGTTTTTGCTTAGCATTGCCGGCCCCTTATTAAAAGTTGACAATGAAAGCTTATAAATGAACACCTATTTTTACACACACACACACACACACACACACACACACACAAATGCACTAACCAGTAGGCCACTTGATTTTTTCTACAGACAGGCATTGTAAAGCGGTACATGTCCGCATGAAGCATCTGTACACGGAGGAATAAGTGACGTGTAACCTGTCACTTATTTGTCTGTACCCTTCCATGTTGGCCAGCATCCATATAGAAATCATTATTTGTTTTGAAGGTTCAATGATTTCTCTGCCATGATCATGTTCTTTTGGGATGTGGCCTGTTGACAGTATCTGTTAATTCAATAAAGTTTACTTCAATGATATTTTGGATTTTTTTTTTTAAGTCACCTCCCCCCTTTCACCATATTTGTACCTTAACCATACATAAATTTCATAACCGGTTATTCATTTTTTATTGATGACAGTATTGAATAATAAACGTGTGATTTTTAAAAATAATATAGGATGTGATCAAAAGTACATTTTATTATATTATGAAGGGGGATAAGTGCATCGCCGTAATCAAAACAAGTTTGTGTAAAGAAGTCATAGTAAGCTAAAATATTATCAAAGTATAAATAATCCTCGTTAAAAAATCTTTTGTGAAAGCTAAATATGACATATGGTATTACTAAGTAAAAGATAAAAATATAAGATTTTAAGTGTAGGTTTAAGGGTACTTACCACAAACAAAAAATGGATGCGCGGCTTGATATATATTTTTTGACTGATTTTGATTTGAAATGGCATAAATAATAAATCCCTGAAATACGTATAAAGAATTCGTAGGTTTTCCTTGGTGCTTAGATTTGAGATTTAATTTTACCTTCTATTTAATTCCATACAAAATTTTGCACAGTTTTTTTAACCTTATGACAAAATCTTATATAATTCTCCCACTCTACTTGGTAAACATTATTCAGGTTGTCAATTTAAATCTATGAGAAATAATGCTGATTTCTGAAAAAAGTTTGTTTGTGTTATTTATCCTTAAATGAAATTTGTTATTTACGTTCAAATTCAAATAATTCGGTTATTGTTTTAAATCTTTGATATTTATAAAACACGATTGATTTAAATTGTGAAATTTACAGGTAAGTCCTATCTTTATATAAAGAAGCAAAACAAATAGAAAGATATTTTTTTTTTTAATTTTTAATTTTAGCTAGTCTGAACTTATAAAAAAAACAGGCCATACATATATGAAGTTAAAAAAAGAACTCTTCTACACATAAACTTAAACATGATATTGCGACGCTTGTTGGAAGTTTATTTAACGAAATGTTATATGACTCCACTATACATCGACAGCTATGAGATACTAGTGAATTAAATTTCAATTCATATGTACAATCGATTTTTAATTCTGCGCATCTCGGGTACTCTTAATGGAGCGCAATTTTATCTGTTTTATTATTTTATTTTTCTCGCATTCAAGCGATCACAATTAAGTTCTAGAATGAACACTTAAGTAAATGCATTTCAAAGACTTTTTACATAAACCCCCCCTTTTTTTTTTGCCTAGAAGAATTTGTGAACATTTCTAAAAAGAAATTTAAAATATATCAAACAAAGAATTTTAAAACAGTTATCAAACTCAGCTGTTGAACGCAGCCCTTGGGCAGATCGATAAACTTTGCATTGGAAGCATTTTATATATGAAATGGTGTATTTTCTTGAGTGATTTATTAATAATTTAAAGCATACCTGTCTACAGACTTCCTCGAGTAATTGTTTAAAAAGTCTCTCTTCGCATTCGAAAATGCGAGGCAAAAATGCGTTCCTTTTTGGAAATCAATGAGAGGCGAGAATACAAATAAAATTAAATTATTAATAATTTAAAGGGAGTATCCTGGTATTGTTACGTTGAAATAATCAGAAATACGCTGTCGGCTTATTCTTTTTTCTGACAATAAATGACGTATAACCTCTGGCGTAACATCGTCGTCACAAACATTCATCTCATCGCTTTCAAGTTCTTGAAGGAGAAATATCTTTATTATGCGAGTGTTTCGCTTGGATTCGCATTCCTCCATATTTAGTAATTGTGACGTTACCAACCGTTCCATTAACGTCACCGTTTCCAGGTGACGTCGCCGAGAAGGCAACGTTAATGGAAAGCGCCCAGTAAATCAGCATTACAATGTGTAACGGTCGCAAATACCAAATTAGAAGATAGATATTCCCATTCTAATGCAATCTTTTTAAAAAAATCACTCACTTCTCAACTGCCCTGAATGCCGAGTATAGGACCTGAATTTGAAGCTCTCCACCGGCAAGTGGTGTTTTATCCATATCAGTGAAAAATTCTCGAGAGGGACGTTAACGACATACAATCAATCAGTCATGTATGATTTGTGACACATGTGGATTTAAATGTTCCATAACCAATGATTTCCAGGAATCTCCTGTTTCTCTTGTTCTTTATAAGCAATCATTATGCAGAAGCAACAGTTGATAAATACTTATCAGTTATTTATCATTCTATCCTCATTAAATCATTGAGTTAATGGTTATGTGATGATATCAAAGATACAGTTAGATTTATATAAATTGAAATGTTACGATAAAATATTGAATATTAATCAGAAAAAAAGAGGATAAAATCATCAAAATGTTCACTTCCCTCACAAGGAAGTCAAAATTGATTTTGATCTCTTATTTGACAGCGGAATCTCAATAGCTGTTGCAAAACTATCTTCTTTAAGATAATCTTTTCTGACACAACAGATTTGCTGACTTCAATCGATTATTGGACCTTTAATCATATCAAGTTTTTAATTAATAAATAATACTTAACAAACAAGGTATCATTTTTTGAGGGTTTTTTTTTAATGTAAAACGGGTTGGTCGCGTGATCAAATCTTCCATAAAGCGTCGGGCTTTAGGGAAGATTCGATCACGTGACCAACCCGTTTTACATCCCAATAAAACTCAAGAGATATCTTTTTACTTATTTTTACATTTGTGAGTATGGTACTAAAGTTTTAAATCCGTGAAGGATATATTCTTTCAAAACTTTACGTGTTGAGCACGTCTATCACTTATGACATCAATATGAAATAACGTAGATAGCTTATGACTACACAATCAATTTAAGGTCATTTGACGAACGTGTTTTACACATGTGTAAAAACGCCTTCTTCAAATAGTGTTATATAAGAGCTAACATTTGCAAATGTATATATTTTGGGATATGTCACAAACTCATCCCTCTCTCGAATGGGGCATTAAACATTTACAATTAACCGATAAATTTTTTCAGAAAACGCTGAAACTTAATAAAAAACATATGTCGAATACGTTCGGAAATATACGTTAGGTTAAATAAATTTTCCTCTCTAACATATGACAAAATAAGGAAGATATATGTATTTGTTATTCCTTCATATATATTGAAAAAATAAAGATTTTTAGTTCCTCTCTCTTAGACATCAATGTAATAGACATTTTGATTATTTTCTTATTTATTTATTAATATATATACTTTTCTTTGACAAACAAAAGATGCTTCTATGGCAAAATATGTATATAAATTATAATAATATTCATTATTATTCCTTAATTATTCATTATTATGCTCTACAATATGATAGTCTGACGGTATGAGTTACCAATATAAGTCATGCATTAATTCTATTGCTACAATATACATGCTCAAACTTCAACATAAATTTTAAATCCGTTTCAGTAATATGCCAGAGAGTATCCTTCCTTTTTTCGCTAAAGAAAACAAAGTAAGCACTGGATGCTGTCTGAAGAACATCCGTGTTGTCAAATTTCTCTCCAATACCAATAGATATCACAGTTACATTTTCATTTGTCAATTTTCTTGTTTCTTTAATAGATTCTGTTGTGTTTTTGTCATATCCTGTAAACGTATGAATAATGTACTTCCGAGAATTTTTCCTACCTCCATTTTTTAACGACAGAGCTTCCGATGAAATGAAACGGAGGCCCTTTGCAACATCAGGGGTAGAATTCATTTGTTTAGAGTCTTGTTCTGATTTCAAGAAAACTCCAGCAAAATTGTTTATATCTTGAGAATGGTTCAGTCTTGTCACGAGAAATGGTTCTGAGGAAATATGGACAGCACCGATTTGTAAGTCATTTTCACCTAAGACAAAGTTTTGTTGAAGTTTTTGTAAAATGGTTTTGAATATTGATAAACTAGAGGTAAAAGTATTTTTATGCTGTACCGATGATGTATCAAGAGCCAAAATGAGATCAAATGACCTTTGTTCTTTGCATGCTGTAAGAGAAAAAATAATTCAAAGTATTATATTTAGAATCCCGGCGTATAAAAATGTCTTGAATATGTCTCAGAATATCAATATTTTCGGAATTTTTTTATGTGAAGTTGAAATGTTTTAATGTTTTAAGTCATTAAAATTTTCAATTAAAAACATTTGCATGTCGTTTTTTAATTTAATAAAAAAAAGGTGGTGAAAAAATATGACGTACCAGAACACTTTGCGTTTACCAATTTCGAAAAAATATGATGCAGTGCGTCCATGTTTACATGACTAAAAACATTTTTGCCATCGCCATCAGAAGATAACCTGCGTAGACCTTCATGACGTATATCTTCACCAACTTCAACAAGAATGACGTCATTCATTGGCATAGTGGATTGCATCTGGTAACGCAATGACGTCATAGCACTGACAGCTAATTGTAAGTTACTGGGCATTCCATCAGTGAGAAATAAGACAAACTGCGAAGTGTATTGTTTCCTCGACAAAATTTGCTTCAATGTTTGACAAGCTTTAAAAATATCGGTTGTTCCATTTATAGAAGAAATGTTTGATACCTGGTCGAGTAATGCAACGCTTTTGTTATATGCGCCAAAAGGGATATCAATTAGTGCATCAGATCCATAAGATACCAGTGCTATGTCAAATTTCTCTTCAGAAACTGTTATTCTTTTTATGACTTCGGAAACAAAATGCACTTGTTCTTTCAAGATTGACTCCGTGGTGCTAAGGGAAGAATCCATTGCAAAAACTATCTGCGCATGGATTGTTTTGCATAAATCTATAAATATAAAATTATAACAGTACTAATAAAACTACAATTTTTTTATGATTCTTGTCAATTATAAAGACACAATGCATCGAAAATTAAAACGGAAATTTCCAGAAATTTAAAAAATTTCTGTAATACTCTATGTACCAATTTCACACAGGGGTCCACCCCAGTCATTGATGCATTCACACAAGAAAGATCCTGACACATCTACACATGATCCATTGTTCGTGCAAGGATTAGACAAGCATTCGTCCACATCTACAGCAACAAACCAACAGTGAGAGAAAATCATCGATGAAACGTATAGCATAAGGGGAAAAAATGAACTTACTAATCTCACAAAATACACCAGTGAAACCAGAGTCACAAATGCACTTAAATCCACCATCAAAATCATTGCAGGAACCATTAATGCATGGTCCGGGGTAAGGTCTGCATTCATTTACATCTATGAAAATATAAATTTATTATTTTTAAATATTTTATGCGGTTTAGCAAATACATAATTGAATGTTTTCCCGTGCAATATATACCTTTTTCACAAGTATAGCCTGTCCAGCTTGATGTACAATTACAATAAAATGATCCATTTGTATTTGTACAGTTTCCACCATTCTTGCAGGGTTTCAATTCACACTCATCAATATCTTCAAATTATATAAATAAAACAAATCGTTGAGTATTAACTACTTTTAATTCAATGACGAACTATGCATTTGAAAATCTGTACTAGTAGTTAGTCAGTGCTAAACTGAAATCTCAAAAACTACTGTAAAATATAGACTTGTTGAAAAGTCCAAAACAGAATATAAACAAAAATATAATTGTAATCGGTAGACAAAACTCACCTCCATCACATTTTGTGCCTTGATATCCACGTGAACAGTGGCAGTTATACCCACCACACGTGTTTTACAGGTTCCTCCATGTTTACATATACCGGATGTTGTTACACATTCGTTGATATCTACAAAATATCTTATGAATTAAAACAGTATGTGAGAAACATTCTAAATGTTAAAAACTACCAATCTTATAGCACTTCAGATTCTGTACCTTCCTCGCAATGAGTTCCAGTGAAAAATGGGTTACACTGACAATGGGATGATCCTTGTGTGTTGATACATGTACCGCCGTTGACACAACCATACTGGAGGCATTCATCAATATCTTATTGGAATAAATTAAAATTGTATTAAAAATCTTTTTGATCAACTTGAAAATAATATTTGTTTACCCTATCCCGTCTCTGCATAAGATAAAGGGGGCGGTCGGTAGATAGGATTTTCTTTCCAAAACAATGTCAACATCAAAGCTGAATTTTCAAAAGGTATTTTCCAAAATGCATAACATACAATTAATTCCTTGCCAATTCCGGGGTTAAAATTTACTAGGGCTCGAGTAATTTTAAATCAGATAATCTGGTGTCGGCAAATTAAATAACTTTTTTAAAAAGATAGCCTTACTTTTTTATGAAGGTAACCAGGTTTTAATCAGATTTGGACCAGACCAAATAGGAAAAAAGATCTAACCATTCTGACACCTGTCTCCAGTCCAACCCTTAGGACAAATACATGCATAGCTTCCAACAGTGTTAATACAGCTCCCATTATTTTCACAAGGATATCCTAGACACTCGTCAATATCTTTAAAAAGATTTAGCAAACTACTGGCAAATTATTGAAAACCTAATTTTTCTTAACTCAGAAATGTAATGTAAAATATTTTAATGGAGTTATCAAAGTATTTAAAGCAAACAAAATAAAGAATGAGTGGATGCATGTGTGGAACTTTTACACAATTTGATAAGTATTTTCTAGTATACTACTGTTTTACCTGTATCGCAGACAGAACCAGAATATCCTTTTGGACAAACGCACTGGAAATGTCCGACCATATTAATGCACACTCCGCCATTAGAACATGGATTGCTATTACACTCATCGTAGTCTAAAACGTAAATATAATCTCATTTGTTTCTTAAATGAAGGTAAAACATACAGCTTTCAATATCCAAAATGATAAATTTTATGGATCACCTCTATTACAGATTGTGCCTCCTACACCAGAAAAACAACTGCAATTAAAAGAACCAATGGTGTTTGTACACAACCCTTTCAACCCACAGACTTCCCAAGAACACTCGTCAATGTCTAAAAAAAATTGCGAATAAGGTTTTTCAAAATTGTATCTCATTGAACACTAAATTCTCAGTTGTTCAAAGGTTTTCCAAAGAAAGACATATTTACCATCTTCGCATAATTTTCCAGTCCACCCCTTAGAGCACATACATTTAAAATCTTCAGGTAAGGAGACGCATGATCCGTTGTTCATGCAAGGACTCGAAGTACATTTGTCAATTTCTTTCAAGGAAGTTAAAAAACAAAAAGCGAACGCAGTTAATAGGTCAAGAAACTATTACTGAAGAAGGGGAGAGATGATCATATTTTGATTAATTTTAAGGACAAACGACACAAACCAAAAATGGATGTCTGGATGGTATATATTTTTGGGTATACATGTAATTTTGTTGCAAATATTGCAAATGATAAGTTTCTTAAATATAAAAAAAGTTGTAAACCTTCCATGTTGTTCAAATTCTACCTTTCTGCAAACATCCTTATCAATCTGTACAAAAATATTTCACTTTAAATCCAATTTTCGAGAAATTATGAAAGAAAAATTTAAAACCATGATGTGAAATTTGTTCATTTTACTCATTAAAACATGTTTTAAGTTGTTATTTTCATATTTCTTGATAAAAGTTTGTTTGTATCATCCGTCCTTAAGTAAAATGATTACCACTAGCTCTTACCTTAAACATAAAATAAAAAAGACCTGCATCCATTATTTCCATTCCATGATATTTAAAAAATAAACATTCTACTTGTATACCATTCCAGAATTGTTGAAATGAAAAATAAACAAAAAACCAGTTTTACCTTCTGAACAAAATTTTCCTGAATATCCTTCAGAACACTGGCATTCAAAGCTTCCGTGATTATTAATACAGGTACCATTATTTCGACAAGGATTTTCTTCGCATTCGTTGATATCTATATCAAAACGTTCAAGTATAATAACTTTATAATCTTTTTTTTAGTATGAAAATGTAAGATTAATGTTCGGAAATTTTCGGTTATATACCTCTGTCACACTGTATTCCATCAAAACCAAATTTGCATAAGCAGACAAAACTGTTATTAACTGCACGACATATCCCGTTGTTAATACAAGGACTCGAATCACAGGAATTCGTCCCTAATTAAACAAAAATATCTACATGCATTTTAAAATATTTTAATACGGACGTAATGAGCCATTTAATTGACAGGATAAAAATTATCTTATGTCGTGTAATTTAAGTTACCTTTAACAGGTCACAAAGTTTGAAGTTAAGTTTTATATAATTTGAAATCATTTTAAAAACAAGTCATATAATTTTCTTAGACAAAAGGAAAGGAAAATTAAGATATAACATGAATTTAATAACAGCTCAATTTATACGGTATAAACTGGATTTGAACAGTTTGCTCCCTTTTAGTTTGCTTTGCAGATTATAAGGCTTAAACTGCCCCGACCCAATCAGCCAGTATCTATGAATTTGGTTATATATGAAATTCATTCCCTTAATATTATGATACAAAAGGTGTTAATTTTCAACCCTGATATGCCCATTGAACTAGATTATTGTTATAATGAAACTGGCTAATTATGACATTTTAGTTAACATCTTTTTTTTCTAATTTGATTCGAACTTACCAAATTGACAAAATTCCCCTTTGTGTGTACTGGGACACACACAGTTAAATGATCCTTCCTGGTTCGTGCAGGTTGCATTATTCAAACAAGGAGAAAAATCTGTACATTCATCTATGTCTGAAGATAAAAACATCGAAACAAACTTAGGAAAAGAAAAAGAAAATGTCTAGAAGGAATACTAAGTACTTCAATGAATAAAAATAAGTTTCCTAAAACTAAAAAAAATCAAAATGGCGTTAATATTGGACCACAAATACACACCTTCATCACAATGCGCCCCAGTGTATCCCAGATGACTTGCGCAAATGCATTGATATCCACCAATAGCGGTTTGACATAATCCGCCATTTTTACAAGGAGAGGAGCTGCATTCGTCCAAATCTAAACAAATTTGATATCTCCTTTTATCAAAATATTTCAATTTTTTTCTTATTCTCTATTATATCATCAGAAAAATATTTTTGGAGTCTTAACCACTTTCACACGATGGGCCAACATATCCTGTTCTACATTGACAATCGTAGCTGCCAGGCGTGTTGAAGCATGTTCCGTTGTTATCACACGGACTCCCAATGCATTCATCCACATCTAAAAAAAATCAGATTCTTCATCAAAATTGATTATTTCAGATTCAGTAACTCTGATTAAAAAAGATGAAGGTATGATTTTAGCTTTATTGTGCCCTAAAAATATAATGTCATCAAAAAGTTTTGAAACTGGCTTAAATATTAGATAAATATATGACTATCAGGGAAAAAATATAGCTTGAAGAATTACAATTCTGCAAATATGAAGCATTTTTTTTATTTTTAAACAGAAAAAAACTTCAAAATGACACATTTCAAGGGTAATTTTCCTTTAGAAAATAGTGTCCACAGCCGTCGCCCACTTTAATTTTTTGATATGTCGTGCAAAAGTCAATAAAAAATCAGATATCTCAAAATCTTTGTGGGCGATGCCTGTGGACAATATTATCTGAAAGAAAATTCCATTGAATATTGGTGTCTACTGCAACTTTTTAGGAAAATACGGGAAAATGTGCATCTTTATGATATCACAATTAGCATTTAAAAATACGTGTGAAAAAAATGATTTGTATGATTTTTCTGCATGGAATTTCAATGATTCAGAAAGCATCAGTTTTCGTCTTTTACACCAGTTTCATTTTTTAGAAAATCACAGGGCAAGATTTGTATGGAAACCATACCTTGTTCTTTTTTTCTTATTGTATATATCTACATCTGATTACGGAGTTATATATAAAATTCAAATATGTGGAGGCAGAAATGTGAATACAATACTGGTTTTGTTGCAAATGGCAAATATTTGGCAACTGTTGTTATATTTAGTAAGAAATCGTTCAAAAGTATTTAGTCCTCTTATCATATTTTTTCAAGTACGAGAACCTATGTGGTAGTGGCAAAAAGTACTCACCTTTTTCACAAGCAGCTCCAAACCATCCATTAGAACAGTTACAAGAGAAAGACCCCTGTGAGTTTATACATGTTCCTCCATCACAGCAAACGGACGGGTCTCTTACACATTCGTCAGTGTCTAAAACGTGAACAAATTATATTCATTGACAACTATGGAAACTTAATTTTAAAAAAAACATTAATGTCTGTACTTGTCCCAAGCAAACTGTAATCGAGGTTGACAATATTTTTCAAAGGGTGACAATTTTCAATGTTTCTAAATTTCCCCATTCAAAGAAATGATTTTGTTTCAAATAAATGTTTATCGACCGATCAGATTTCATTTATTAACATGAAAGTATAATATATCAAAATAATGAAGTGAAAAAGAAATAAAAAAAATAATGGTAAAATACCTTGAGCACAATTTGGAGGCTCCCAGCCAATATTGCATTTGCATGTAAAAGATCCCGGGGTATTTGTACAGTTTCCATTATGGCATGGAAATGGAGACTTATCGCATTCATTGATATCTAGACAAAAGAGCAATTCATGCATTTTTTGATGAATTTATCACAACAAAAATTGCGCTAAAATAGGACTGTAACACGTTTTCGTGTATTTGCACTCTTTGGCGGAAAAAGATAACGCGAGTTCTGAAGTTGAAAATAAACATACTAGATGCTGGCCAGTAGGGTGACCAATGATTGAAAAAATATTCATTAGAATGCAGTTGTTTACTTGTTTATCGGAAGATGTATTTGGTCAGGAGGAAGAAAAAAAATCGGGGGTGATCAGAGTTCAGGTGTTTGAATAAATTATCGACAGAAAAAAATATTTCAAGATTATGCAAAAGATTGGTAATTATTTTAAAAGTGCATTAGAAAATTTAAAAGTACTGAAGGTCAGAATAAAAGTAATTACAAATTCAAATTCAGATGAAAAATAATTATTGCAATTTTAAAAGAAATACTAAATTATGCAGGGCACGCACAGGGGTATAAATGTAACTCAGTGAGAATAATTCGGCAGTGGAACGCTGGATTTTGTCTCTTTCTGGTTGCATTTATACAGGTAAGATTATTTTGTAGACTTGCGCGCGTTTTGGTAAAAATTATTAAATTTTCACATGGCTAATTTTATTTACAGGTTAAATGTTTTATATCATAAGTATATATATATTTATATTTATAATAATGTTTATTATTATATGATTGAATAATTTCCATCTCTCTGATTGGCTGAGATCCAACTATGTTAGAAAAATACTACGTTGTATTGACCTGCACGTAACGTTCCGGGTGAATACAAGGATTTATTTCCAGTACATTGATCTAAAAATAGATCGGGAAATTCCAAATTGATACAAATTGTTTTGGAAAGCTATTTAAAGGACTATGACTTTTTTTCATATGAACAAAACATAATCAAATAATATATTTTCGGGTGAGTGTGGTAAGAGGGGATGCAGGAAACCCCCTCCAACACTTTTATGAACAACAATTTTTACTTTTTGGCAGTCAGTTTTCCCTGATAACTCCTTCCTTTCAAAATTTATCCTATAAATAACTTACATTATATTTCTTTTCATAGCAACTAAAATTGATAAAAAAAAACCCCTTCAGATTGATACGACTAGTAAGGTTTAATTACATTCTAATTCTGCTTCTCTCTTGTATTTGACTAGGACTTAATTAAATGCATACAAGTAATGAGCTGTATCATTTTATAGTGAATCATATAATAAAACAATTATGCCAATTTTTAGCATCTTTAAAGCAAATTCACCTCGCCCTTCGGGCTCAAATACTACAGATGGCTAAATCATTGTTTGTTCAAACTATAATATCTTGTGTAAAATTATTTATTGGAATTATAGATATTAAAATGGATTGTTTAATTTAATAAAGAGTGGAACGCTGGATTTTGTCTCTTTCTGGTTGCATTTATACAGGTTGGGTAACATCGCCACTCCCCATAATCTGTAATGCCCTGGACATACAGAAAAAGAATAAATAAATCCGAGGCAGATAAGATGCAAACTGGTACATTGAAAACCGGATGAACTTTGTCTTGTCAGGACCAGGGAATTGAAGGAAGGTTTTTCCCTGGCCCTTAAAACCTCTCACATGCGGAAAAGCGAACGATCCCGGAGTTTACAATCAGATCCAGTAACCAGATAAAATAATATAAAAACCCAAAACAAGTTCCAAAATATCCCAAACAACAACTTTCATATTTCCGAAAAATGAACATTTTTTATTATATGAAAAATTTATGTTTCGCAAAATAATTCAATCTGTTTTACATTTGAAATAATTCCTAGAGATATTTACAATGATTGAAAAAATATTCATCTAACTTTTAAAATGTGATTGAGAAAAAATTAGTATTGATAATACTAATAATATAGCCTGCTTTAGAAGAAGTATTTCTTTGAATGATTTATCATATGAATCAACTATGTTCTTTTTGCTAAATCATGTTTAGTTGCAGACAAGTCGAAAACCATCAAACATTTTATTGTTCATGTATATTAATTTTATTTTAACTTTACTGTAGTACTGCAACAAGAGTCGATCTGACTATATGCCATGTATATACAACTGTATAGTTTTCACTCCATATTACCATACCAAGGTCACATTGCTTTGAAGTCCATCCGCTATTGCATACACAATGATAAGAACCAGGGGTATTCACGCACGTGCCTTGATTATCGCACGGACCGCTCATGCATTCGTTAATATCTGTGAATTAAGATTGATAATTCAGTATCTTATAGACACTATCAAACCTTAAAATACTTAATTAAGATCACAATCATGGATACTGGTACAAAACAGAACTTGCACGTATAATTTCTGTTGTCTCTATATGTCTTTATTATATATGTAGCTTCCATAAGCCTTTTGCTCTCTTTCAATAAAGAATAAATAATTTCCCTCGTTCTCCACTAGATCTCCTGTTTCAATGTCGTAACAAAAAAAAATTTCTCAAATCTCTTGAGGTTGGATCTTTTTCTCAAATCTCTTGAAGATGGATCTTTTTTCAGCTGTATTTATCATTTTAGTAGGTGTACCTTCCATGGGTTATTTTCTTTTTTGCCGTTTTCTTAGAAAATTTTCATCATTTATTGATAGCAAATTCATCATTTTGATTAAAATGAAACAAATATGAATCAAAAAAATCCAATCAGAGAGTAACAGAGATAAAAAAAAACCTTTCAAACTGAATATTCAATTTTTTTTGGTCATGTTTGACATTATAAGTTTACATAGTGAGTTTTTATGGCAGATGCACAATTCTAAAAATTTAAAGACATAAACGTTATATTACCTTCTTCACACGTGCTTCCTTTAAATCCAGGTGGACATGTACAGGTAAATCCAGTGAGGTTCTCATGACATGTCCCTCCATTTTTACATCTTGTCTCATCACATTTGTATCGATCTGGAATTTGAAATTGAATATATTTGAACCATTAATATACATGTTGATTAATTGTGTTTTCCCCAAAAAAAGAGAGACAGCTGCAGAGATATCAAAAATATCTTCCATGGCACCTGATCCCGTCTCTGATATTTTAGAGCTAGGTCAATGTTTGCTCTGCTCCTATTCTATAATGATTCATGGATTTTTGAGCTTGAACACTGTTTGTTATCACCGCATATTAAAAGTTTAAAAGTCTCTTATTATTGAAGAGAAAATATTGAATCTTTTGTAGGATATGATACTTACCTGTGCAGTGCTTGATGTAGTCGGCACAGCAATCTTTTATTCTAAGACACTCTTCGTCACAGTAACAATGACCCTGGTCAGGACGATAGAGGTAAGGTCCTCGAGCGTTACATCCACTGTTCAAACCAGGGCAACAAAATCCAGCTTCTGCACAATTTGTTGCACTTCTCACCCAATGGACTTCACCAAAGAATATGAATAGTATGCCAAAGAGTAAGATATTCAATCTTGGCATGCTTGAACCAAATGTAGTCTTTCGATGCCAAAGCCTGAAACTTCCTAGTTTATGAGAGCTACTATGTCAAGTCGAGTTTTCAAGTAGTTCTGTTCCTTTATTTTCCTCGAACGGAAATTCACTGTTTGCTGATAATTTTTTTAAAACTAGGTAAATCAGTTCTTTTTGCTGACCCTTTAAAACATTTAAACATAAATATCCAAGATGTATTGAAACGTTGTTAAGCTTTTGGGATATCAATATGCAAGGACAAATTGTTTTGTGGATATTATTTGAAATTTGATTTTAGCTTTTCTGAAAGCTATAAAAACACGTAGTTGTGTTGTAGTGGATATTTTTTGAAATTTGATTTTAGCTTTTCTGAAAGCTATAAAACACGTAGTTGTGTTGCAGTGGACACAACAGCTTGCTCTTGACAAGCATGGTCACAATTATAACAACATTAGCTTGTTGGCTCCGTGAGAGGCAAGACAAATTTTGTACATATGAAACTTTCGTTTACACAGGTCATAAAAAAACCCTTGCTATTATTAGCACTTTATACAGGGTTATTTTCGCCCCGTTAAATTTTCGCCCTTTCACACTTGCAAACAATTTAGCCCCGTCTTAAATTCGCCCATTCATAGTTTTATTACAGAAATTATATGTATTAATTCATTTCGCCTCCGTTTTAAAATCGCCCAAATGAGGATATGGCGAAAAGGGCAAAAATAAAACGGGAGCGAAAGTTTCCCTGTATACAGTAATTCTTACCTCTTTTGAATGTTCAATATCTATATAGATGATACTGTTTATTTACAACAGCAACAACATGATGATGGTAGTCTTCTGTTAAGTAAAAAAGGAGAAAAAATACATGACTTTTGTTAAAGTTTTATATGTCTGGTGCAATGCTTGGTACAATCGACACCGCAGTCTCCCCGTCACATTGAGCGGAGTCGAAGCTACGCTGAGACATGCGTTACATTCGATATTTAAATAAACTATAGTAGTATATCCAGAAACTGCAAGCTTTGTGGCATCTTTCGCCCAATGAACAACAAAATATGAATAATGATCTAAAGATTAAAGCATTTCATCTTGACACTCTTATATCAAATCCTATCAATGTCAAAGCTGGAGCAGTATTTGATCAAACACTTCTTAATTAACGATAACAACATTGCTACTTTCGTTACCTTTGTTTCCTTTTTTAATGTTAAATTTCTATTTGTGGATTTCAATCGTAATAAGTTAATTGTTCTCACGTATAGTGAAAGTGTGCAGTGTAAATTATGAGATCCATAAACATACTCGGTAAAACAAATATTCTTGGCAACGTGCACTTAATGTTTGCTGATAATTTATAAGACCAGGTAAAGCAAATAGCCGACTCTTTAAAGAAGTAAAGAAAAAAAAAAGATTTAAGATAACCGGGAAGTATAGAACATTTTAATAAACATCTAAAAGATATGGATGTATTAGGACAGGTGATTTTTTGGATAGTATTGGTGATCATGATTTTGGCTTCTGTGGAAAGTGAAAGTTGTAGAGAGGCGGGTCTTTGTTGTACTGGACACAACAGGACATGTCAGTCACTGACTGGACACACTGACCAATGTTACTGTGATGATGCCTGTCAGGAACTGGGGGACTGCTGCGAGGACTATATCGTCACCTGTGTAAACAAGGGTTGTGTTATTTATCACTCATTTCTGAGCAGTCAATATCCACTTTTCTTCATAATACATATATGATTATGTTGTTACAAAATTAGGTCCTTTTTTCAGAACACAAAAGTTCTTAGAGATAGTAAAATGTTTCTTTTTTATTTTGTTTCACAGGAGTATCTCATCCAGTTCGTCGAAAACGGAGGTCAGCAGGAATGAGTAAGATAAATATTTTAAGTTTTCTTATCTCTTATCTGATAAAGCTCCTCTATGAGATGCTTTCAGTTGAAAATTAATCCTTTTTTGATCTTCAAAAAAAAAACTCATTGTGACATCATTTACAGATGTCTGATTAACACATAATAATGTAAAAGACGGCCATAAAAACCTTCCTTAACCTTTTAAGACTTGAGAAATACTCCTGTTGATAATGGGATTCTTCTCTGGTTTCTGACTAGATGAAACATTAAAATTATATTTGCTTACATGACTTACATATTGAGGTGTAAAGAATTTAAAAGGCCATATTTTTCTTTTCTCATCACAATTGTACAACTTTAAATACAAATGGTAAACTGCGTTTGAAAACTGGCAGGGACTATATTTTTGGCGGAATGGTGGCGTATGAAAATATTTTCTTTTCTGCCTCTCAAAATTACAATAGAACAATGAATTTAGTTATTATTTTTACACGATCAAAGACATGGAGAAATTTTCAAATGTAAGTTAAATTAATAAAACTAAACTTTCAAAATATATCAAATAAATATTATTTTTCAAACAAACTAGAATTTTGTTAGCTTTTAAACGCTTCCTATCAAAGTGCAGATTTGGGCCAAAAATCCATAAAAAGTATTTTTTTCTCTCTTAGTAAACGATCAAAACTTTTTGTTTTTGCATCATTTTGTACATTTATAAGACTACTTTATTATATGTGAAAATAAGAAAAAGTTAAATATAGGAAGCATATGAAAATAACTAATATATCCTAAAAAACTAAGAAAAACAGAGAAAATTCGGATTAGCCAATATCCAGTTTAGTTAAATTATTTATGAAAAATTGGTAATATCATGCTATAGACCCGATATAGTAAAATGTTTTTATGCAAAAAGAACAATCTTTAAACTTTTGAAATAGAAGTAAGTATCACATGATTGGCAACAGTATTTTTTTATTCTTAATGTCAAGGAAAAAGATAATGACCTTGACCTGACCTTGCCTCTAATATAAAACGGTCAAATTTAATTTCACTGATACTGTCACTTACTGATATTGTCTTCTTGATTCTGTGAAAATTTCATTAATTTTTAAATATTAGAAATATGAGAAGAATCCTACCTTTAGTTTAGAGTTTTTAATTTTTAAGAGTATTAAGATCACCATATGAAAACCAGTTGATTTTGCAAGCTTTAATGTATGCAATACATGTATGTATATGTAAGGTTATATATGGATATTATATGAAAAATTTAAGAATTCTTGAGTTACATAAATCAGTTTTCAAAAAGTGATTAGACCACTTTATAAATGTTTATCTTTTTGTTTGTAAATAATATATACTAGTACCTATAGAACATTATGAGTCAAATGTTGTATTTCATTTCAGAATGCTCACCAGTTGATCTTATGTTTGTAATGGATGAATCTGGAAGCGTTGGTTTTGAAAACTATGAGAAGATGCTAAACTTTGTCATAGCTTTACTAGGAAACTTTAAAATTGGACAAAGTGACATGAGAGTTGCTATGATCAAGTTTGGTTCCTATGCAAACCTTGAGTTCAATTTCGATACTTACGGAACTTTTTCAGATATATGGCATGCTTTGCAAGATATGAAATCAAAATACGTCGGAGGCGGGACTGACACAGCAGCTGGTTTGAGACTTGCTAAGTTTATCACTGGCTATAGTCGTCCCAATGCCGCCAAAGCTGCCATTGTTTTAACTGATGGATATTCAAATAATCACCAAGCAACCGTATATGAAGCAGGAAGTCTTCAACACACAGGCACCAAAGTATTCGGTGTCGGTATTGGAAGTTATGTAAATTTGGATGAACTGAGAACCATCGCTAGTGACCCTGACTCTAAATATCTTGTTACAACCATCGACTTCAACGATTTGTATAACAAACTTCAGCATTTTATTAATGGGCTTTGTGAAGGTAAACTTAAGGATATTGAGCTATAATGTAATTGGTGACTGTATTAGCCCAAGTAACGGCATTTGCATTTGGAGGGAATGGAAGTTTAATTCTTGGTTTTGCTTTAGACATTTCTAAATTTCTAAAAATATATACATGTATCTGGACAGAAGCTCGAATAAATAATGCAAACATTTATGCTGATCTTCTGTTGAATTCAGCAAATGAGCACTTTTCATTCAGATAATTATCAAGCTATTCATTTTCTGTCATTTTATTTACTCTCCTTCAAATAAAACGAGAAAAGATGTCATTAGAAAGAGAGGCGTATTTTCCATGTTGCAAAGTAACTGTAGCTAGAAAAAGTCTTTTCATTTTTTTTTTCATTCAGCTAGATATTTTGTTTCTTATGTTCATTGATTGATAAAGTATTAGTATATGATCATTGTGGGGGTTTCTTGCCATATAATAAAAGATCACTCAATATTCATCTCTTCTTCCATTTTTCCAGTAATTTGGAAAAGGTGCTGAAATGGATTTTAAAAAATTATCATTACATGTACGTATATTTCTTTATCTATTTCAGACATTGATGAATGTCAGTCTTCTCCTTGTAATAATGGATTATGTATAAATACTCTTGGATCATATCACTGTAACTGTTTGATTGGTTGGACTTCATTTAACTGTGATGTGGGTGAGTTGTCCTGCTCTCACGTTAACAAATAATCAGTTTTTCTTTATAAAATAAGTTTCCAAATTTATCATTTTCTTTTCCTCAGACATTGATGAATGTACTAAAAGTCATATATACCCTTGCATCCATGGAGATTGCACCAATTATCCGGGTAGTTTCACTTGTACCTGTTACACGGGGTTTACTGGTAACGACTGCAGCAGAGGTAAAAATATTACTGAATTGATATTATTTTATCTACAAAATTATCTTGATCAATAAATAGGGATCACGGCGGGAGAGGATGCTTATTCCTCATAGGCACCTGATTCCTCCAGAAGAATTTCCAGAAGTCGTGTCTATGCCCTGTTCACATTGCTGTTTATGAGACCGACCAATCTTCACTCATTTTCATTTTATAATCATTGTTCATTTGTACAGTTATAAATTGTACTTCTTGTTCAGATATAGACGAATGCCTTAGCAATCCGTGTAAACACGGAGATTGTCAAAACACAATCGGGTCATACAAATGTTCCTGCAATGATGGATGGACTGGCAAAAATTGTGACTCAGGTACAAAATCTTGCAAATAAAAGATTTTTATTTAGATTAAAAGTTATTGCTATAGTCCATGAGCCACTGGGGGTGGTCGGTACTATTTTGGGTGAATAAACTTTATAGTGATATTTGGTAAGGTATACCCCCAACTAGTGAGAAAATGTATGATAGCATCAAATCTGTTGTGGCTTTAATGCTGGAGACACAGTTATTGCCCTTTATTAGCTCAAATTAGGTATTTTGAGCTAAATAAATTTGCTACCTGAAAAGTATTTGTCACACAGTTGCCAATCGTGATAGAAAGTTTTACCAGAATTACTCCGAAATATGATGAACATATTAAAGGAGCATTAACTGAGTTACAAGCCGTAATTCTAACAAAAATTGCATATTTGTACCACTTTATTTTATCAACAATTATATGTACCTCAAAAATTTGTATAAAGAAACAGATAAGTATCAACACACAGATACTAGTTCAGTTATTCGTCCGTCGGTGACGACGATGACCACTGTCTCACCTTCGTGGGAGAGGGGGTTGACCTGGACAGTGGGTGCGGAGGTGACAGGTCAGGCCGATCCTCGCAAAAGCAGATGATGCAGTTTTTCGAATAGAGCCACGCCCCCTTCTTTGTAAATTTCAGCTGGGATGGAGTATCACGCAATCGGCCAGGTGCTTTGCCAGTTGACAACAGACTAATTGCTTTCTGGATCTCATCGTGGGAACGGCATCCAGTGGTTGGTTGATGGGAACCTGGGAAGACGTTTGATGGCTTCATCTTTGATGGTAGAAGGGCGGTTCATAACGCCAATGAAATTTTCCGCCCACCTGTCGAGTATCTTTTCCTTCTTTGTGATGAGTGTTAGCCCGTCATCACTGAGGAGAGGGGATGAGTCTGATGGAGTTGGCCCGTATACTTCCCCAAGCCCACAGTAAAAATCTTTTCCTAGGCCTGTCATGAGATTCGGCGTAGAGTTGGATCTCATCAGATTTGGCATTCAGCCAGGAGTCCTTCATATCCCGAAACTTTTGCTGTACTATGCTGCTAGCGTTCCTCAGAGCGTCTTTCTTGGCTGTGGAGGTGGGATCATCTATATGAACCTTGTAAGCACGATGCTTGTCCTCAAGAAGCTGCGTGATTTCGGCTCGGTTCTCATCAAACCAGTATTTGTGTTACTTTTGGTGGAGGACTCAAGACACTCGAAGGCTGTATTTTACACTGTATTACGAAATGTGTTTCATGCTGCTTCCGCGTCGTGGTCATCCAGCACGGTGGAGTTCAGACGTTCTTCCAGGGTGTCAGCTAAGTACTGAGAGGTAGAAGGCAACTTGTGCTTACCAACGTTGAAACGTTTTGAAGCTTTAGTCTCCTGAGGACGGTGATCTGTCCAGCACTCCGTGCCACACATAGCCTTGATGATAAAACGAACTGTCTCCCTGTCTCTATTCCTGACAATGACGAAGTACTGATCCTTGTTTCTTTTTGTTCTCATTGTTATTTCGACCGCATGTGTAGGGTCCCCGTCAGCCGCGGTAAACTGGTTAGGGAAAGGTGGAACAGGCAACATTTGTGATACCTTTTATAATCTGCTCCTTTTGCCATGGAGGTGAGCAGTCTGTTCCTAAAGAGAGCTGCTCAGTACCACGGGTGGCTGCCGAACTCCAACGCTGCTCTGGTCGGTGAAGAGCGACCATGTGGCCTGTGCCGCCTGTGTGCAAGTTCGCGACTACCGACTTCCAGTCAACCCGCACCTGTCACCTTCGTTGCCCGCCTGTCGCCACAGAGCTTTGGGGTGGATGATAGAAGGGATGGAAATTTATCATTGACTTGCGCGGTGAGTTTGATTAAAATGAAGATGGGTTGCCTGTCGCCGACCTCACTCTTTCGCCTGCAACCATTTAGATCCAGTGGCAAGACAGATGTCATGACGTCTGGAGATGAAGACAGATGAAGCGGATGACCAAGACGTGCTATTTGTGCCTTGTCTTGTTCCAAGCATTCCACGGTGCTTGCTGTGTTTGCCTTCTTCTCCGTTGAACCATGACGGTTTCCTCCGTAGAGTCCGCCGACGCACAGTTTTTACATGCGTTACAGGTAGGCAAGCCCTCAATCAACAGGGGTTGAGACCCGTCAGCGCTTTGTGTAGAGAGTACTCTCCTAGAGGGATCTCCCTCAAAAGGATACGAGTTCTATCTAACCGGGCTAGTGGAGGGAAGGGGCGTTAGGCCCTTGCGGGTCGTTAGAGACAGCACACTGCCCAAAAAGCACATATATGATTGTGCACATATGTTGCTTAATTTTGATGTCAAAAATATATATAATATACTACACGTTTAACATAGATGAACATATAAGTGTCCATTATCACACTGGTTTAGCATGAGATTAAATAAATAAAACATTTTACGTAAAGGCTTTACTTGAGATATGACATATTCACAATACAAGGGTAAATCAAGGGAATTTTCCTTCAATTTTCATTTTTAGGATAGGGATAAAGATTTACTATTAAATCAAGTTATATATATTTGTTACTGAAATAATGTTTTGAAATGCTAATACCTGATAAAAAAAATTCTTTAAATAAAATGACCATGTTTTTGGTGTGAAAATTGTCACAGTAGTAATTTGTTTCCTCTGATTAAAATTTCAAAATTGCATACTAGTATTCCACTTTTATGATCAAGGGAAGAATCAATTTCCTATATAATTTAGACGGCTCATTACAGAGCCAATATTGAATAATAACTGAACAGGGTAATAGCATGGTCTGCATTCAAAAGAATTTTCAAGAAAATATCATCCGAAATAAGACAGAACTTGTGTATTGAGAAACCAACCCTCTTCTTTCAAAGACACAGCTGAGAGAACGAACAAGTTGGGTTGGTGTATATAAACAGTTGATACACCATTAAAGCCACAATCAATTGAATGCTATCATACATTTTCTAAAGGTAGAGATGTATGTCCTTCAAAAATTAACTATGAAAATTATTCACCCGAGATGGTACCGATACCGAAAAATTCATGACTTGGCTTACTACTCACGAATTAGGAAACAATAATAAAAAAAAGTTTACTTAAAATCGATTTCTATTTCTATAAAACTGATATATAATTAAGATTTGATTTAGTTCTTTTTAAATTTTGTTAATTTTTCAAATTTAATTTAGATTAAAATTCTTTTTTGAAACATTAGCTTGCATTATTTTATTTCACATGTTTCTCTTAAAAGCTTAAATAACTTTGTGAATTTAAGTTATCATAATTATGTTTGGATTCTCAACAAGTTCCATTCTTACGGAGAACAAGTTATCAAGTCATAAATACAGAAGTAAAGCAAGCTTAAAAACAAACCCTCTATCATTAAATTTCCTCATTAGATATTGATGAGTGCTTAACCTCGCCATCGGTGTGTTGCAATGGGGACTGTACAAATACAGCAGGTTCGTTTTCCTGTGGATGTCAGCCAGGGTGGACCGGAAGTATTTGTGAAAAAGGTAAATAAACATTCAGAAACAAACACTGGTATGAATTAATCTAAGACGTTTATTAAGCAAATGTTTCATTTTTGACATGAATGCATAAAATTGAGTTAATATTTGTTATTTTTGTTTTTTATTGACTTTTCATCTTAAGACATCAATGAGTGTAATGCAATGCCTTGTGAAAACAATGGAGTGTGCATCAACTTACCCGGGCATTTCCTTTGCCGTTGTCGTGATGGATTTTCGGGAACTTTATGCCAAAATGGTTCGTCTACTTTTTTTTTTTCTTTTTTATTTATTTGAAATAATGAAAAAAAAATTGAAACCAAAAATCTTAAGATTGAACATAGAAAATTATCAAAATAACGAAACTACAAAACTTGTACTTGTTGTAATCAAGATGTGAACGAGTGTGTGTCGTCTCCTTGCAAAAATGGAGGAGTGTGTCGAAATGTTCTTGGAGGGTTTGCTTGTGATTGCAAAAAGGACAGCAATAATTTTGGGAAACTTTGTGAAGAAGGTAGGAGATACAAATATAGAACTGGTTTTTCTCTATTTGATATAGAATATGAGAATGCATATCTTTTTTGTAGAACTGGATGTATGTTCGTATTCATCCCTTTGTCAAAACGATGGAAACTGTAGTCATAGCAATGGAACAGTTCTATGTAGTTGTCCAACAGCTTGGACTGGAAATTTCTGTCAATTTTGTAAGAGTTTTTATTTGTTTTTGACATTAAAATGATTTGTTAAGTATGAATATTAAAACAAAACTGACATGCCGGGTTTTGAAAAAAAACTTTTCATAGATTTGGGGGAATGTGAATCATCGCCTTGTCAGAATGGAGGAAGTTGTTTTTCAGGGAATTCTACTTTTTCATGTATTTGTCCACCTGGATTTACTGGAGAACAATGTGAAAGAGGTACTGTATTTCATTTGCTTTGATAAATGATCAAATTGATCACAAGAGTGAGTTTTCATTTATTTCTTTTTTCCATTGCATAGACATCGACGAATGTGCAAGAAACCCTTGTAGTGTTAATGCCACATGTCAAAATACGGGTGGCAGTTACTTTTGTGAATGTCCCCAAGGTTATCAAGGAATACACTGCATGGATGGTGAGGTTTCACTTTTCCAGTTTCGTAAATGCTTTCATCTTGATCTTTAAATCATGATGTAAAATTAGCATCGGTACAATTTTCTAACAGAAATCAATCGAATTTATTTTAATGTAAAAAGAATAAATTTCACATTGATAAAAATAAATGAACAAAAAGTAATGCATTCATATTAATCTTGATTTTTTTTTCAGTGAAATGTATAGTAAGATCATTTACTCATATGGTGTGTTTACTTGTAGAAATAAATGAGTGCATGTCTTCCCCCTGCTCAAATGATGGACATTGCATTAATATGGATGGAGATTTCTCCTGTGTTTGTCAGAATGGATTTTACGGAAAACGATGTGAACAAGGTTGCCTTTTAATTGTTATCAATTATGATATAAATAAGAATGAATATAAAAAAAAATATGACTTTCGGCTATAAAGAGTGTATGCATTAAACACATTGTCGAAATTTATGGTAAAAATTGTACCTCATATTTCTTTAACTGTTGTTTATTTTTTTAAAAGTGTGTTTTTTTTCTAAACCCTGTGAATATTTAATACAAATAATGATATAAAGAACTAAACCTCTCTAAATAAAAAGGATAATTTTAAAGAGTGTGAAATACACATCTAGACTTTCAAGACAAACTTTGATGGAATAAAATTATAAAAGCTCTTTTCAATAATGATCTAATATATACATGCATATATTTATTTGAAACGATTGATATGCATAGTATTACAAGTACGCATAAAGATTATACATGTACTTTACTAAACAACAAAGACGTGTAAACGTGTACGTGTATTTCTAACTTGTAGTTTACACGTTCGCGTACAAATTAGCTTGCTAAACCTCTCTATTTTGAAGATTTTGTACAAAACTTATGATTAATTCGGATCAACTCTCTTATTTAGGATCTCCAAATGCTTTATTCGTTTATGAATTTAATCCAATTTGCATTTACGTTAGCGAGGGGATAAAACACAAGTAAGCAATAAAGTATATTCAATGAATAAACGGGTCAAGACGAGGAAGAATTTAAAGAAAATGCGTTCTCTTGGCTCCTAGTAAAAGTAAAACTGTATTTTTCCAGAATCTTGCGATATGCATGCCTGTTACAACAATGGTACATGTTTTACATTTGGAATGACTGCAATATGTGCCTGTACAGCAGGTTTTACTGGAGAAAATTGTTCACAAGGTAAGTTAAGGTGTAGTGGAATTCCTATATATTTCCAAACAGAATTGTAAGTTTCATCTTTTTTAACGTATTTTTTAGATGTAGACGAATGCAACTACTCCCCATGTCCTCAAAACACAGTATGCAATAACACCTTTGGTGGTTATGAGTGTGTGTTGTGTGCTTCGCCAGGCAACTGTACCATAGGTTATTGAACTCGAATACTTTTAAGAATTTATTTATCATTTTTGCAATTAGATTTCATTTGTAACTGACATTCCTTTTTATTTCAAAAATATTGTGTTAACAGACTATAGTACATGTAACCAGTTGCCTTGCCAAAATGAAGGTCTTTGCATCGCTGAAAATTCCACCTTTTCCTGTCTGTGTAAAAAGGGTTGGACAGGAAAGATGTGCGAAACAGGTAACATGCTTTGCAGAGTCAAATATCAGAGAACAAAATCCATACATCTAAAATATTGCCTTAAAAGTAAAGCCTTTCTGATAATACACTCGTTGTAGTGATTGATGGTTGTAGTAATGTAACATGCCACAATAGCGGTGTCTGCGTCTCCAAATTTGGGAAGATTTACTGTGTGTGTCCTCGAGGATATCGTGATGAAGCCTGTGAACTAGGTAACAATAAAATCGTTAAAAGCATGAACTAGTCAACGATTATCTCTAGATTCTGTTTGCCTTTCATATTAATTTATGATATCTATTTATTTTGCAATCATTTTGTCAACGTAGATGTTGACGAGTGCGGCTTATCTCCATGTTGGAACAATGGAACATGCATCAACGTTCTAGGGGAGTTTCATTGTAACTGTTCCGAAAGTTTTGAAGGAGATCAATGTGAAAATGGTAGTATCATTAGCTAGGAAATCTTATTTCAAAATAATAATAAAATCTAATAAAATATTGAGATCAATTTAAATCAGATGAGTAATTAAATCCGGTTGATAGCTTGTTCAAAACCAGTATGTAAGCATTGTAAATTCCTAAAACATATTTTTATTTTATTATGGAATTATAAGTTCAAAAGGTTTATTTGTAACTTGTAATTTCAAATAGTAGGCAACGCAACACTTTTTCAACCAAAAAATCAAACTCGTCAAATTATCATCGGATAGTTATTAAATAGCTTATTAGAGGAGATACTGGTGCACCAGTTATATATAATTCATCGATAGGTCTTATTCTCATAAACAGGTCAAAACGTTTGTTCTTCCAAGCCATGTTTGAATGGCAATTGCACTCTAGTCCCAGGATCTTTTGTTTGCCAATGTGAAACTGGATGGACGGGACCAAGCTGTGAACAAGGTATTGCCAATTGAATCCCAATGATAAAAAATTAAAATGACATCTAATGTTTTGGATCATATCTAAACAAGCTTTAACAAAAATGAAAGAAATATATCTTCAGAAAACTTTTTTTGAAATATGAAAGAATGCCAATGTTAATATATTTTTTGAATAGGTACAAAAATCTTAAGGTTAAACACAAAAGGTTCAATATATTTGTCAGTGTGATGATGGAGTAACTGGTCAAAATTGTAATCAAGGTATCGTCACGTGTCTTTAATTTTTGAGCGTGCAAAATGTTGTACTACAAAAACATAAAGGGGAAAGAAATAAATTTTGATGTCAATAAATGTTTCATAAGAATCAAATATGTAAAGTATTCTTATGGGTAACTTTTAAAAGTTATGGTCAAGATTTCATCGGAAATTAAGACAAAAAATCACTTCAAACTTCTCCTTTAAAAGAATTAACGCTTCCCTTTATTCTACTCATAGATTTTGATGAATGTGAAAGCTCAATCTCACCGTTCAAAAGTTATGGTCAAGGTTAAAGTTTTTTGTAGAAACTCAAGGTCAAGGTCAAAGGGTCAATGTGTGTTGTGTTCCAATGAAAGGTTTTTCAAAAAACATTACATATGTGAAGTATAAATGTAGGTTTCTACTTTCCTACAAGATATCACCAAAATAAAAGTTAAAAATTTTCATGTAAAAGTAGTCAATGCAAAGTCATCATCATTATCTACAATTTTACATATTTTGAAATTCCTGTCACAAGGAATATACAAATGAAATATGAAAGTCATAGCTAATAAATCAAAAGTTATGGGCAAGGTTAAAGTTTTTGTTCAATGTGGAACAGAGAGACAGAGAGAAAGGAAATAGATGCCAAACAGGTTGAGGATAATGACATCTAATGCTTTTGATCAAATTTAACCAAAGCTTTAACAAAAATGAAAGAAAAATATATGCATTGTTTTTTCTATATAGATGAATAAACGAATATATGTGGATTGGTGGAACTTGTTCAAATACTAATGGTTCATATATCTGTTATTGTGATGATGGAGTAACTGGCGAAATTGTAATGCCATACGTGTCTATAATTTTTGAGTGTGGAGAATTTTGTATTATTGAAAAAAGAATAAAAAAGAGAAATAACTTTTAATGTTTATGCATATGTTTCATGTTTTTTTTAGGTTTTTTTATTTTTACTTTTTTTTCAGGCTGAAATAAAAACAAAAAAATTTTTTATTGCAGAGGTTTTAACTTCTCCATTTTTTTAAATAAATGTGTTCATTTTTATTCTATCATAGATTTTGATGAATGTGAAAAACCCATGCCAACATGGAGGTTATTGTATAAACTTGGTCGGAGGGTATGTATGTGTTTGTCTCTGGGTACAACGGAACGGATTGTGAACTGGGTAGGTTTCTGCTTTCCTACAACTCTTTATCATTTGTCTTGTAACTAATAATGAAAGTCATGCAAAATGCTTGACAAGTTTATATATCAAAATGTTACAGATATTGATGAATGTTTAGAGGAGACTTCGATAATGGAGGGAGTTGTAAAAATGTACCTGGTGCATTCTTTTGTTCATGTGGAGCAGGCTGGAAAGGAAATAGATGCCAAACAGGTTGAGGATGTATTTCCAAATAAATTTTTGCAAAAAATTTTAAAAGTTTGAAAAGAAAATCATATTTAATGCATGGATTTTTTCCTTAGATATAAACGAATGCGATGATGGTGGATGTGCTAATAATGGAACATGCATCAACACCAATGGCTCTTTTGAATGCCATTGTACTAATTACTGGAAGGGGCTGAATATTGTGAAGAAGGTATGTTTAATTTTCTCTCTCTCTCTCTCTCTCTCTCTCTCTCTCTCTCTCTCTCTCTCTCTCTCTCTCTCTCTCTATGTAAATTATTCGAATTTTATAACACTTATACGTTTAACTCGCAACAGATGTAAATGAATGTGTTGAGAATCCAGGAACCCTGTATGTAACAATGGTGATGTGAGAATTTATGTGGACTTTATAAATGCCATTGTCCATACTGGTACACAGGACCCACTGTGATACAGGTAACGTGCTAATATTACCCTCACTTGTCAGAAGTTGAAACAAATGTATGGTGTCAATTTCAAAATGTTAGAATCCTTTTAAAATTATCATTAAAAACATGATTCTATGTATTGAATGTATAGCACAGAAGTAATTTATATAATATATAATAAAAAGTGAATATATCAGTACAAATTTTACATGAATTCTTGTCTTGTTTGAAAATATGTTCACTGTAAGAATTTTTTGTTACAAACACAAAGGGATCATTTTATTGTAATTGTACATCTTTTAAAAATGTATTTGAGGGTAAATATTTTCTCTCCCTCTCTCTCTCTCTCTCTCTCTCTCTCTCTCTCTCTCTCTCTCTCTATGTATATTTTTGTTATATATCAAATGATTTTTTTAATGTGATATTCTTTGAAACAGAAATCAATGTATGTAACAATGGTGATTGTTACAATTTTGATGGCGGGTTTAGCTGTGTTTGCCAAATATACACAGGACCACGCTGTGATACAGGTAATTGTAACATAAATGAAAATTGTCAAATATTCTTTGTGAAGTTATCAGTTTGCATATATTTTTGCTTTTGTGGAAATATGTTCACATAGGGTTTTTTTACCATTTGGCATATGTTCGTCTTAATGTATTTTAGAAAAATAGAAGGCTTTCAATCTATGCATGTTTTTGTTATTATCAAGTGATATGTTTAAATGATATTCTTTGAAACAGAAATCAATGAGTGTCTGCTTGATCCGTGCAAAAACAATGGCTCTTGTGTTAATATCCCAGGCTCGTTTTATTGTAATTGTTGAATGATTGGGTGAATGTGAATAAGGTGCATATACATATGTAAGTCAGACAAACAAATTCAAGTTCAATGTATTTCAATTTCTTGTGGGGAAAATACATATAAATCTGAAAATCTCAAACGACCATAAAGCAGCTATGACGCTCTTGACAATGGTAAGAATTTTAAATCAAAACTGAATGAAAATGAAATTCTTAACTTAATTTCAGATCTATGTAAAACAAACGCTACCAAGTTAATCTTCATGGTAGACAGTTCCTATAGTTCTTCGGGAGAACCGTTCAGAAAACAGTTGCAGTACATTACGGACGTTGTTTCACGAATCACCATTTCTGCAAGTAAATTTTCAGTAGCGGTTATCTCATATGGAACAGAGGCGAGGGCAGACATTAATTTCAACTCTTACGAAAACAAAACGGAACTTCTTAGTTTCATTCAAAACATCACTTTTGTCAACGGAACAACTAACATACCATCGGCCTGTATCGAGGTCAAAAGGATACTACAATTAACACCCAATGATTTTCAGTTTGTATTTCTCTTCACCGATGGCATGCCTACAAGTCTGAGTGCTGCAGTAGGTTCCATTGTCGATTTGAGAGGTTTCTTGAAATTATCAAATGAGTGGAATGACGTTTTCTTGGTGGCGTTTGGTGATGACGTCAGACATGAGGGATTTAGGCAGTTATCCGGGGATCACCGATTCGGTGATGTGTATCCCAGCATTAATATGGAACCGCTGCATCAAGTCTTCAAGAAAACCGTAAACATACGATGTTCAGGTATGGATCAGAATAAGCCGAAACCATTTTTTATTATAAATTGTTCTTAGAAAAGGCTTTTCTAAATGAATACCTTATTGGTACAGAAGCAGATCTGCTAATTAAATACCGTAAAATCACATATTTTTGTTGGGTCAAATTTTCGAGGTTTGAAGAAAAAATTCTTGTTTTGTGGACGGAAAAGTTAAGGTAGTAAAGCATATGAAATTTTAGATTTCCTGGTTTAATAAATTCGTGGGTTTCTCCATGCCTTGAAAGCATCGAAAATTAAACCGCCACGAAAAAAGTGATTTCACGGTAAATAATTTATTTTTTTTTTCAGCGTGTAAGGTAAGACGGGATAGTGATATAGTGTTTGCTCTCGACACATCAACCATACAATCGCAGACTACTTACAAAGCCAGTCTGGGTATCTTCGTACAACTTATGCAATCCATGGATGAATTCGTTTTCTTAGGATCTGAGTACGTTCAAATAGGCACCGTTCACTTCTCCGATACCGCATTGTCCTTTTTACCGTTGAATTTTACGACCGATTTAGATACATTTGCAAGTACTTTTCAAGCCGCAAAGCAAGACAACCGTAACAGTTCGTCAAGTCTTGCAAATGCTCTTCAATTCATCTGGCAAGAAATGTTCTCGGACAGACAGGGGGCTAGATACAGTGCTTTGAAGTACGTTGTTTTCGTCAATAATGGATTCGATATTAATATGACAGAGACTTATAATTTAGTAGAAGAAATGACAAAGGATGGAATTGCCTTAATCTCCATAGGCGTAGGGAAGAATTATAAGGACGGACAGGTTTTAAATACGGCTTCTAGTCCTTTCCATGCTTATTTTTCGGAACAGGATCGATCAACGAATCAGTGGACTTTGCAGGATACCGAGTTCGAATTCATCAAAAGACTAATTAATAGAAGGCTGGAATGCACAAACAGAGTGAATGCTTAAAATACTTTTCTAAAATTCTTATTGCCAGTATTTTGTTGCTTGGCAGAATGTCTGTTGAGACATCCACCTTAAAGCCAGTGACGCGGAGATTGATTTGAATGATATTAATAATATTTTAACTCGATAATATAAATTTATTTATCATATATGCCATTTTGATACATTTACCGAAAAGCCCCATAGATGAACCCGTATATGCCTGTTTTTAGACAAACGTATATTATTTTGTAGCCTAAGATTATTCTAGCAACATGTACTGTGACCAATTATACTTTTCGCTAATAGGGCTTGATACTTTTCACAATCAATGCTAAAACAAAAGTTCACCTATTTTCATATGTCAATAAGAACGTCCGAAAATCTCTCTTTGGAAATAAAAAAAAGTGGACCTCATTCATTGTGAAATGCAACACGCAAGGTGGAATGGTGACTCAGGAATGTGTAGATTTTGTTTTTACAGAGATGAGTGAGCCTCCCATTTTAATAAAGAACACGTAAAGTTAAATTAAAAAGGGATATATAAATAATAAAGAATATAAAGTCTTACTGTTAACCTCTTCCTTTAGATACTCGTGCATTGTGCACTGATCAAAATCAGAATCTCTGTCACTGTCCGAGACTGGGCAAAATTTCTGGGTAATGCCGATTGATTGATTGATTGATTAACGTCCCTCTCGAGAATTTTGCACTCAGATGCAAACGCCACCACTTCCGGGTCGAGAGCTACAAATGTTGACCAATTGAGCAGTGAGGGATCTTTTTTCGTGCCAGCACCTACTGCGACACGAGACCTAGGTTTATGCGATCTCATCCGAAGGACCGGTTTCTACGTCCCACAATGGGATTCGAACCCGTGACGTAAGGATCAACTCCTTACTTTGTGACTCTAGAGCAGACGCTCTAACCACTGCGCCACGCGGGCGACAGGGTACTGCCGAATAAAACACAAGTCAATATAATTTTTAAACATACTTTATTCAACAGTTTAAAAAAAATTACGAAAGAACTATGTAAAAAAAAATGATTTTAATTTTAAACATATTTTATTGAACAGTAGAAAAAATGTCATTGATGAAATAAGTACTTAAAAAAATAAGTTTAAACGTATTTTATTTCAAAAATAAAAAAAAATATATCATGAAAATTGTATTAAAAATTTATTTAAAAAATTAAAAAATACTAATAAATCACAAAGAAGTACAGCCTTGTATGTAAAAAACATTGTGAATATAAAGCATGTTTATTTCAAAAATAAAAAATAATCTTGCAAGAAATACATACAAAATAAATTTAAAGCATAGTTATCTCAACAATAAACATAAAAATTAGGTATGTCAAATCGGTCAATTTTTAATACTCGGTTACCCGGATATAGTACCCGGGTACTCGGTAAAAGTGTAAGTAAATATGAACAAGTAAATTGATGAATGTAAAACATTGTATCACTTGTAGAAATAAAACCACATGCTCTGATAGGAGGTTTACACGTAAATTGCATTTCTGTTGGAACAACGATGAGAACTTCGTGCCCGACGAAATTTACTACATTTTTTAAAATTCAATTTATTTAACAGATTAACACAAGAAATAAAATCGTAAGTGGTTCATGATGTTTTTGTTTAAAAAAAATAATCTACTCCGTAATTGTAATGTAACTCTTTGTTCATTTGACGTCAAGGTATATATCAGTCGTACAGTTTGACTTAAACTTGACCATTCAAGTTCTAACAGAGCCGATTTACGATTTTCGTATACTTTTCGATCCTAGATTTTATAGTATCACGGGACGTATTTTGTAGTTTGGTGCAACGATGCACATCAGTTTTTTAAAGCCTTTGCCTTCAACTATTTAATTTGTACGTGTATTGGCATGTAATCAAACAACCATATTAACAGTCGCGCATGTAACAATCATCTGTCCCTTTTCTCGAGAAATTACAGCTTCTCGGGGAATTGACAAAATTATCTAATTTATTTAATCATAACAGACCTTAAACGATGTTCAGTGAAAACAAATAATTAAAGAAAATCAAAAAATACGGGTAGAAGACAGCGCCCCAGGTAACAGGTGCTTGGTCACGCGCGATAATTACTGTTAGTATAAACACTGCCACGGGCGGTAACGAGTAGGAAACCCTAATTACTGTATGTACAAGTGCAATGAGTATTTTACATTTTAAAACAGATTGTTTAATGCATTAATAAATAAGCTTAGAAATATTCAAAAATATACATCCGAGTAACCGAGTACCGATTTTAGTATTCGATACTCGGACGTTCGATCGAGTACCCGGTTAACCGGGTACTCGTTGACATCCCTAATAAAAATAAATCATGCAAGAACTATATACAAATATGCACATAGTGCACAGGTAAGTCAGCATCGACAATGTCATTGTCTTTACACATATGTAATCACACACGCGTCCACATACATGTACACATGCCCTTTAAAAATACAAGGTCAAAAGGAGGCATGGACTCCAGGTCAGATTACAATTAAAGTACCAAGATGGTCACGACTTTTGCGATGCCATTGTCTAAAGTATCCCACAAAAGGGGCGCTGTCATCAGATCCAGGGATAGTAGAACACAGACTTTGTGTTATACAGAAATACTAAGTCTCTTCGATTGTCTAATCACATATAGCCCATAAAAGGGGCGTTGTCACCAAGTCCGAGAATTGCGGTACACGGACTTTGTGGTATAGAAATGATGGGTCTCTTCCATGCAGTGTCTTATCACATAAAGCCCATCAAAGGGTGTAACAAATCCGAGGATAGTGATACAAGGACTTCGTGGTATATTCTTTATTTATCTATTCACATATAGCCCATAAAAAGGCGTTGTCACAAAGTTCTGAAGCAGTGGTACACGGACATTGTGGTATAAAAATAATAGGTCTCTTCAAGTTTCTTATCACATATAGCCCATAAAAAGGGCGTTGTCACCAAGTCCGAGGATAGTGGTACACGAACTTTGTGGTATAGAAATTATAGGTTTGTTCCGATGTCTTATCACGTATAGCCCAGTTTCAAATCGCATATAGCCCATAAAAAGGGCACTGTCGCGAAGTTCCGGGAGATGGTACAAATGTATATGGATCCTGACATTGTTATATAAAATAACAGGTCTTTTTCAGTGTTTTATCACATATTGCCCATAAAAGGAACGTTGTCAAGTCCGAAGATAGCAGCACATTGACTTTGTTAACTAGGTTTCTTCCAGTGTTTAAATCACATGTAGCCCATAAAAGGGACGTGACCACCAGGTACACGCACTTTGTGGTAGGCAAACGGTGCTTTGCCAAATAATACAACACATGTATATCTGCATGTCTTGTCTATATATGCCCATGTTCAGTATCACATGCAACTACCCCAGCATGCAATCCATAAGGGACGTGAAACATCAATGTCGAGCCCATTGGTACAGAGATGGTAGTGGCGGTTCGGTTTCTGACATTTGCACACCATTTGCGACCATGCATAACCTACAAGAAAAGAGAAAAAGACATTAGATATAATAAGAATGCGTAAAAGAATATTGCAGAAAAATTATCAAAGTATATAGTGTTAAATGAACAAACATGTATTAGTTGTTGAAAAGGGCAAATTCATACATTTATAAAGACAACTTCTAATTCTGAGAAAGCCATACTATCTAATTTTGAATAAAGCTTGTTCTGTAGTTAAATTTTATATATATCTTAAAATTTCTGTAATCCAGAAGTGGGGAGCAATGAAAAAACCCATTAATTTAAAGCAAAGTTATCAGACATTATCATAGGGGACATAACAGTCAATTTGATTGGGTTTATACAAGTATACACAAGTTTTTTTGGAAAAATTAAATGGATGACGCTACTTTTTTCCCCCAAAAAAACTTTTATTGAGCATCTCTGTAGAAAATAACATTTTAATGCGTTTTATGGGTGGTTCCACTTACCAATATCGCTCTCCTCTTTAGTAGACACAAAAGGAGGAATCCAAATCTTGTTTCTTGGAGACTTTGTGATGACGTCTCTGCTTTGGGACGTCACAGCGTCTCTGTTCTGGTATGTCATAGCGGCGCACTGGCCTATGCTTAAAATTGACTCTGGCCAACCATTCAATCTGTGAGGAAAATATAATACATTTTAATTTGAATGCCTTACAGTCAAACGAGAAATTTTCATGAAGACACGACTTTTTATTTCACATTTCGATGCTGTACATGTATATTTACATGTAATTAAGTAAAAAGAACATTTGTGACCATTATGTTGTTCCCAGAATGAGTCCGACACTTACGTGATTCGTAGGTTGTGGTATGGTAGGAAGCTCCCTACGCTCATCAGAACTGTTGATGGCACTGGTCAGTTCACGCTGAAAAAAAGATAGAAACAATTTCATAAAACGTGACTATCTAAAAAAAAAAAAAAAGAAAATAATTAAGAATATAAGACACCCGGCCCTAAAAAGTGAATTTCATTTATTGAAAAAAAAAAAATGCCCCATTCAGATTCTTACCCAGTCTCGAATGTGATCTCTCCATTCATGAACAGCAGAAGCAAAGACTTGCTTGCACTGGGGAGAAATTGTATAAAAGGATTTAGAGGTTCAGTTTGAGAGAGTAAGAAAGAGGTCGATAGAGAAAGAGATAGAGATTAGGAAAGGGGAGAGAGAGAGAGACTTACAGCTGATTTGGCCGCCAGGGCAACCATCACCTCGTACCACTGACGACTGTCATCTGAAGAGGCCTCTATACGGCGCTAAAATTACAACAAAATGTATTTAACAGTACGATATATAACTCTGGACACGACAAAGTCCAGACTTTTTCCAACCATTTCTTACTGTGATATTCAAAATACTTTTATAAACATCCTTGGATGTATCTCAGGGTCTCACGTTGAACTCACAAACATCTCTACTTCTATAGAAGTCTTAAAACTCAGAATTCCATGGGAGAATGGTGGGATTTTCAATCCCATCAACTATCCCACCATTCTCTTCCGGGAGAAAAAATGTCAAATGGGATATTTTCTCCCATTAGGTTTTTTTCTCCCACATATTTGTTCAAATGGGATAAATCCCACGGATATTGACAATCAAACAACTTCTCCCATACATTGTGAAACATAGAATCTATAACAGTGTATTGGAGAAAATAATTCATTTGTCAATAACCATGTGATTTATCCCATTTGAACAAATATGTGGGAGAAAAAATCCCCAAGGATGAAAATATCTCATCTGACATTTTTTCTCCCATGGGAGAAAGGTGGGATAGTTCTTGGGATTGAAAATCCCACCATTCTCCCATGGGATTCTGAGTTTTAAGACTTAATATCTTTAGAAGTAGAGAACTGATGCTTGTGAGTTAAACATGAGATCCTGGTATACTGCTAAGAAATACCACAAAGTGATATAAAAATATTTTGGATATCACAGTTAGAAATGGTAGTAAAAAGTCTGGACTTTGTCGTGTCCAGAGTTAAATGTCGTACTGTTATTTGATCATAAAACTAATTCTAATGAGCTTACATTTTCCAACTTTTATCTAAAAATCCAGATATATACATTTAATAAATTAAAATTGCAGTATTTCCTAACAACCGTTAAAAGATATGTAGCATAATAATTTATAGGTTCATTTTATAAAAAAAAAAACCAAAGAGACAAACAAAAAAAACTTAACGACTAAGACCTTAAAATTTAGTTGGTTGTATAATTTTGCAAAATTAATTATTTTTCTTTTAAATTGCTATTGTAAACATATACTTTAACCATTGTCAATCAAATGCTTATTAGAAAATTGTATTCGGTCTTAGTAGTAAATTCTCCAACTTTCCACCATACCCATACCCCCATTTTTTTTTTTGTTTTTTTTTTTTTCCCCCCCCCCCCCCCCCCCCCGAAAATATGGTGTACAAATGTGCTATCCCCGCAATGTTTTTCCTACGATTTTTTTCATATTGTACGAAGTGGACATCGTCGCAGATCGCTTTGTTTTTTCTTTTAACGGACAAATCTAGAACTTAGCGTATAAGCAGAAATTTTTGCAAGGATTTGATTTTGGCATTATTAGCGAGGGTTCTGAGATCGCTAAAATTGAATATTCGCATTGTAGTTGTAATAAAGTTAGTTGACATCAAAGGGAAAGAACTCTTATAACGATTGCCCTCAGTAGTCTCCCCTTTTCTATAATGACTTCGCAGATGAGAAAGACTCAAAGTATCGTTCAAAGGAATCAAAATAATCTCTATTGCTATTAGCACGCTATGAATTTTGAGAGGTAAGTTTGCAAACGGATGAACTTTTCAAGCAGGATTTGGTAAAGCTAAAACATTTTTCCTATACATATGCTGTAAATATTATGATTATATTTAACCGAATTTCCTCTATTATCGATAATGCCCATGCTTATTCTTCGTGTTCTGACAAATCCTTACATTTTATTTTTTTTTTTCAATTTTGTTTTTCTACGCTGAGGTCTAAAACCACAACCCGAGGGGGGGGGACTACTTTACATAAATCTTACAGATTTTAAAATTTAACGAGAGACTGGGGTCGAAGTCGACGTGGTTGTTTGTAGGGGACTGATATACATGCCCTTCCCAAACTCAACGCACCCCTCCCCCTTCCAAATGATCGAAGAATTTTGTATTTTTGGCCTAACAATTGAGATCGTTTGAATAGTTGACTCAGACTACTCAGAGGGATTTTGCCATTTTCATTGACGTCATAAAATGTCCCTATTTTTCGTGAAAACAAACATAAAAGACCAATAAAAATTTATTTTCTGAAAAATTACCCTCTTAGACACACTCTTGCTGTTTCTTTCAGAAGATCTTTCTCTTTTCATTGTGAAATTTGAGATTTTCGTGGCTGTTTAAAAAACACGTCTACTCGCAACTGATCGAAGTGAGTAACTAACGACAGTAACCACAACGCAACGGTTCCTTGCAGTTGCCAAGAATGACGTCGTCACCAATGGCAACGCTTGAAGGTAGAGCTAGGCCAAAACGTATAGATGTATAAAACAAAATGAAATATAATAGGTGTGAAGAGGTTTTCGACAGAAACTTGCTAGGGCATAATGCTTGCGTTTTAGATGATTTCATAATGATTTATTACCATTATAAAGGCTTTGACTTTCAATGCACATTAAGGCGAATGTTCAATGACGTCATAAGGCGGGAAACTTGCCGAGTTTGGACCCGAAAAAAATCAAAGTACTCAGAAGTACAGAGAATTTGAGTAGAATGGATTTCTTACATGAATCACGTTTATATTCTGATGAAAAAATTATTTTAAAACTATCAATATAAATGATAAGACACTGACAGTGAGTTTTTCAATCCTAATACCACGGTCCGATTTTGTCAGAATCAGAATTAATCTGGTACCGCAGCTGAATGTAAACAAACAGGCCAGTCTGGTCCCCTCTCCTGCTTTACCTCGTATGTGTAGAGAAATACGGTAACACTGATTATCAAAAGTCCTTACGCTAATGAACTATGTTCTTTGACTTATGAAGTTTTCAAAGTCATTACTACTAATGTTTATTTTATATAGATAAAACGTCGTTTTATTTTTGTTGCTTTATTTAGCGTTTGTATTATCTCTAAAGCGGTTGAGAGTAAGAACTATATTTTTGCACGTAACTTTAAAATGGCGACTATGGGGTCAACATCCTGCCTTGAACAGGATCACATAAGCCGGCAATTGCTCTTTGAGCAATAAGCCCGGCTAAAAATGCAGAAAAAACGACGTAGTAGACTAAGCCAGCTAACATGCAAGGCCCTGTATTAATTAGCAATAAAGTGGGGAAAAATTTACGCTGGTATCAATGGCATAATAACAAAATATGATCATTTGATGATGGAATTTTTATTGAAATTATCTGCTTTGGAAGAACATTATATTAGTATATGTTAACAAAAACATGACACGGGCCATATGTTTACATAACAAAGGTTTGGATCTCTAAATCTGCCTTGTATCTCGACAACTGCAGTTCAATTTTTTGTGATCATTAGAAAGACCCTAGTTAAATATTTGTAAAAATGGAAAATTAATTTGAAATTTTTAGTTGAAACTGTGTCCATATCATATGATCCTTTAAAAATTGTAAGTATGGACAAATTAATTTAAGACACCTATAATATGATAAAATACTTTGTTGAGTACAGATTTTTTCAGTCTTTTATACTAATTTGAGTGGTAAATTATACATAAACAGTACGCAACGATTTGTTAGAAACTTCCATGTACGGGCTAACCAATGACTGGTTGTTACTTTCCTTTTGAAATTGAAAGTAGAAATGACCTGACGCAATGGATGTGACAACGATTACGATATTGTTTACTTGTTGAAATTTCTTGAATAAGATAAAGGATGTTTTCCTTTTTCCAACAGAATATTCGGGAGCTGAGACGATCTCCTTTCTTTAACAAGGGATTGCCTTTGATGGTACTTCTATACTTTTTTGAGCGTTGACACGACAGGACTGACCAGTGAAAAACCGATTGATTTAAATTTATTTTATAGGCAAACATCTGTACAATTCAATTCAATTAATTTATTGACCAGTTAAGGGCCCTCATGGGGCGAGAAAAAAGTTAATTGTTAACATTTGTATATAATAGTTATTATAACCATAAACATACCATACAGTACAATAAAATTCAGAAACTGAGAAAGCTCAAATCTGAAATCTCTAATCAGTATTGAAGAAATAAAGCCATTCCGGCCTGAATATATATATATAATAATATATATTTTTTTTTTTTGGTATTAATTGATAGCTTTGATATGCTGACACAGTTAATAAAGTTTTATCACATGAAAATGTATGAGCAAATTGCAATTTTTAATTTTTTTTAATATCATGTTTTCGATTTCAGCTGTTTGTACTGACAGGTGCAGCAATATTGGTCCAAACACAAAAACTTGTATACAGAAAAAGAGACAAAAAGAAGTCTTCAGTAAGTGTAATTTAAGACTGTCATCAAAATCATTTATTTCTTTTTTTTTAAATTCAGCGTAATAATTCTAAATAATCTTCTTCTTCCTATGAAGTGAAGGGCCGCTGCTGCGGCATTTTCTCACTTTGAAAATATGTGAATTGTAAGATAGGTAGGTTTTTTTTTTAAATTGTACTGGTAATGTACGAGTCATAACGCAAAATTTTCATTCTTTCTTCTCTCAGATTTCATTTATACAAAACAGACACTGCTATTTATTTGTTTATTCACATTTTTAGCTCTACTGGTCAGAGACCAGGAGAGCTTATGCGAGTTAATAAAGTTTTGTCTGTCTGTCTGTCTGTAAACAATTTTTCAAAATGCTACTCCTCCTACAGTTTTGGTCCGAATTTCAATATAACTTGGCACACAAGTAGACTACACTAAGATACATAATTTTGTGCATCGGTTTTTGATTTCAATGAACGGTGTTGCCGTGGTTACTAAAAATAGAAATTTCTGTGAAATTCTTTCAAAATGCTACTCCTCCTACAGTTTTGGTCTGATTTCAATATAACTTGGCACAAAAGTAGAATACACTAAGATACATAATTCTGTGCATCGGTTTTTGATTTCGATGAATGGTGTTGCCGTGGTTACTAAAAATAGAAATTTCTTTGAAATTCTTTCAAAATGCTACTCCTCCTACAGTTTTGGTCCAATTTCAATATTTCTTGGCACACAAGTAGACTACACTAAAATACATAATTCTGTGCATCGGTTTTTGATTTCGATGAACGGTGTTGCCGTGGTTACTAAAAATAGAAATTTCTGTGAAATTCTTTCAAAATGCTATCTTCCTACAGATTTGGTCCGATTTCAGTATAACTTGGCACACAAGTAGACTACACTAAGATACATAATTCTGTGCATCGGTTTTTGATTTCGGTAAACGGTGTTGCCGTGATTACTAAAAATAGAAATTTCTGTGAAATTCTTTCAAAATGCTACTCCTCCTACAGTTTTGGTCCAATTTCATTATAACTTGGCACAAAAGTAGACTACTAAGTTACATAATTCTGTGCATCGGTTTTTGATTTCGATAAACGGTGTTGCCATGGTTACTAAAAATAGAAATTTCTGTGAAATTCTTTCAAAATGCTACTCCTCCTACAGTTTTGGTCTGATTTTGATATAACTTGGCATACAAGTAGACTACACTAAGATACATAATTCTGTGCATCGGTTTTTGATTTCAATGAACAATGTTGCCATGGTTACTAAAAATAGAAATTTCTGTGAAATTCTTTCAAAATGCTACTCCTCCTACAGTTTTGGTCTGATTTCAGTATAACTTGGCACACAAGTAGACTATACTAAGATACATAATTCTGTGCATTGGTTTTTATTTTGATGAGTGGCAAGGACCATTTTTCTATTTATTGCTGATTTAAAGTCTCAAGTCCCAACTGCTACTTTTCTCTTCCTTTGTTTTAAGTATAAACCAGTAGAGCTACAGTCTCGACAGAGACTTCTGGTTCCTATTATATTATTTAATTCTTTCTGATATTATATAAGAAATTATTTGTTCCCTTAACTTTTAGCTTCTGTCAGATAGAGAAACCCAGAAATTTTTTGAAGAAATTGGAGAAGTAAAAACATTACAACAACTTCAAAAAGTAAGTCAGTGTTTATTGAACAATCATATTACAGCTTCTTGTAATGTTTAAGACAAGGACCTTTTCTCACATTAGATTTACTGAATTATTTGTGTGACAAGCAAAAGTTGATAATTCATAGCTTATCTTTTTTGTAATTGACCTTTTATTCTCTGTTATTTGCTACATCAAGTATGAACGGGCTATTCAGTGGAACATTATATTTTGTTTTACTTACTCAGGAAACCCAGAAGCATGGTCAGCTAGATAAATGGGCTAACTTTCGCGGGCCTCGGCCCGATGATGATAACTCCATGAAAACCTTCATGAAGATCAAAGAGGAGGGTGACAGAGAAGCCGCAGCCAAAAACAAACGATTGAGGAGCAGTGAAGATTACAAAAAACAACAGGAAGTTAAAAGAAAGTTTTACGAAACGATTCAACATCAGCAGGATATTGCAATGAAAAATAAGTGAAGTTCTTTAAGTATGATTGATATATAGTATTTTTAAAGTGAAGGATTGTGTGGAACAAAGCTTTATTTACTTAGGCTGTGTTTCCATAATTGCATTTTTGAATGTGTGAAAGATAATTGAAAACGTAAGATGTATATATGTAATATTTGATTAAAGTGAAAATGTTGAGTGCACTACAATCTTTCATTCATGTGAAATACCTTTACAGTATAATATTGTGAAATGATGTACAGTCAGTGAACAATATTTTCTTTCAGCTTTCAATTGTTGACTTTTTTTTAGCACTGAAGTGTATATTGTATTTCCAATGGAAAAGATATTTTTTGTAGCACTTGTTTGTGTTAATGCAATCTGCAATAAAAGATTTCAAAATACTTTATAGGAATTTGTTATTCTCCTTTCTTTTTATTTCAAGGTCTTTTTAATGTCTGGTTATGAAAAATAACTTTTTTTATGATATTTGAAACCCAGTTTAATATTCTTAAACGTGAATAAACCAAATGTTCCATTTAGCACAGTGATCCTAAATCTGTACACAATCTATGATTAGGTCAAAGACTAGGGATGTGCAATTTTATATAGGTATATCGCGAAAGACACAGATACCAGTCTTTAGGTACATATTATAAAGTCCAGAAATTATTCATTTATTTGTTCAATCTTTCTAATCACAATTACAGAAAGTGTTAAAAATGTAAAAAGTTAAAAGAACGGCATCTTACCGTCCAAACATAATTGATTTTAAATACATAAAAATTTCAAGGAAGTAAAATTTTGTTTTTCTAGCATATTTTTTAGAAAAAATTATGACTTTTCAAATAATATCATTGTAAAAACTGCTTTTAAAAATATCATGATATTATCGTGATATTGTGGGAAAAAATCTGATATATGTGAAAGCCCTATCAAAGACACAGATTTTAAATCAGAGGCTGATCAGGTGCTTTATTGAAGAAATAAGCCCCTTTCAAACAATCACATCTGTGTGAGCCCTATGTTTTAATCAGGTAAACAGAGTACAGTGTATTTCATAATCAATATAATAAATGACCCAAACAACTGTCACCAAACATAGTAATACAATACAATGTTGTATTTGTAAACAAGGTCGTTATGTAGAATTTGAGATGTACTGACTTTATGAGATTGTTGAAATCCTTGTATCATTCAATTATTTGTCAGTAACCTGCCTCAGATTAAACTTGATGGTACTCGAAGCATGTTCTTGTATACTGAATCAGTTCCACTTTCAGGAGACAGAGGAATGTTATACTGCATGAATATAAAGTAGGATATCATTTGAATGTGAAAAAAAAAAATAAATTAACAACACTTCAAAATGTCAAAAAATTCTTTTATTTATTAAAAACTTAAATAAATTATTTTTAAATATTAATCACGTGGTATACGGAATTTTAAATAAAGTAATTGTAACGTCATCATCTCGTCTCTGAAATAACATTTCTCCAGGAAAAGTTAATAATTTTTGTTTTCGTGCACGCATCAACATCCCCACCAGTTTGTTTGATATCGTTGTGTATGCTTCGAATAGATTTCCAAAGGATATACTGAATGTTCCATCCGCGTTCTTTTGTCCAAGATCAGCGATCACGTGACATAGTTCCACGATTTCTCCGCTGATGAGTTCTCCGGCCTTTTGACCCCTATATTCTGTCATAGATCCCTCCACGGGGCGTCCGTAGTTAGGGTCATTTTTGTCCAGTTTCTGACGATGTGAGGCCCCCTCCCATTCAGAGAAGGGGTTTATTTTCTGTTTTTGTTCGTGTTCGTCAAAGAATTTCTGCCACTGGTTGACCCTCTTTGATATCCCTGCCATGGTAACATAGATTCTGTGGGTATAAATAATACAGCATAGTTTTACAAAAATAAATACATAATGAAATAAGGGGGTTGCAATCGCACTTAGCAACGATTAACCAACATGGTCTTTTACAAAGAAGAGTGAAAAGAACTTGGCGTAATGGGTAGCCTTTAAGACCCTCTCCAACCACTTCCTTTTAAGGAAAAGTCCATGATTTTGATGACCTTTATGACATATTTTCAAAAAAAAAAATCTGCAGCTTGACGACCCTCGTATAACTTGGAATACACGCTTGTAGTTACATGCTTTTTAATAGGTCTGCATTTTTTCTCTACATACATGTAGCAGACATTTACACCACTACTTCTGCTATCACATTGTGACAGATAATTTCGTATTATAGTTTGGTTAACGTTTATATATAGCTTGGCATGCAGTGCATATATAAAGCCTAGTTTACACGTTCTGCTTGAAAGCAACTGCAAAAAACAGACTGACATAATGGACAGACATGTCCAGACTTTTTAGGCATTTCTAATTATGATAACCAAAATATTTTTATATATGTAGTAAAGTCTTAAGTTTACACGAACATCTCTACTTTTGCAGCTCTGCTTGAAAGCAACTATCCCACCATTCTCCTATAGCCAAGGGTTTTCTCCTAGGGGATTTTTTCTCCCATGAATTTGTTCAAATGGGATAAATCCCGCGGATATTGACATTAAACCCTTGTGAAACATGGAATATATCCCATTCATTATGACGATGACAAATTTCTCATCATAATATATTAAATATATTCCATGTTTCACAACGTATTGGAAAAAATAATTTATTGTCAAAGGGATTTATCCTATTTGAATGAGGAGGAGCTGACATTTTTTCTCCCATGGGAGAATGGTGGGATAAACCCTTGGATTCTTTAGGACTTCATATCTTTAGAAGTGGAAAGATGTTCTTGAGTCCAAATAAAACCTGGAATACTTATACAAGTGATATAAAAACATTTTGGTAAACAGTTTTAGAGTTAAATGTTCATAAAGTACGTGTAAACTTTATGTAATATTTTATATGATTTAATTAAGTTTCATAAAGATGCCTTTTTAATTATAATTTCAGAGAAGCCTTTTAATGAATCAGTATTAATACAATGACACTTGTAACAATGTGAAATTAGTTTGAAATTATTTATTTCAAATTCTATATGAAAGAATAATGTTTCTGGTACCAGCGAGTAGCCATGATGGCAGTACAAACACTTTCTTGGAGCTCAACTACCGACATCTCCCAACGATCATTGTAAATCCTGATTATACTCATCACTAAGGAAAGGGTCGATTTTTTTTGCAATTATAGTTTTGTCATAGTGTATAGGTTTATATTTCATTTCAACCTCCGATAGTGTGACCATGAGTAGCGCAAATATCTGCACGAATCTAGTTTATTTTTTATAGCAAGACTGTATGTCGAACACACGTTCATACAGTTGCTGTATGGTGTCTGTAATCATTCTGCTTGATTGTTGGAACAAGTCCAACTCATACTCCTCGATTCGACAATGCACACGTCTACAAACAGTTCCAAGGAAAATGGTACAGTAATAAACACAAACAAAATAGCTATAGACATCAACGAAAGGCAATCGTCAAACGAAATAGGGTTCGAACACCCGCAGGTGGCAGGGAGGATGGAGATCAAGAGAGTACATGTATTAAAATTTGGATAATGTATGTGTTACTAAAATAGATGGATAACATTAATTTATTTTAAAAGTAAATCTTTATTGTAGAATTGGAGAAAAAAATAATTTGAAATTCTTTTTTGAAAAGAAGACGTCCGGTCAGTTTATAATGAGTCTATATATCTGCTTTCAGTTTCCAATGGGTACATATGTATATGTATATATACATATATGGCAAATGCATTACATTCATAAGAAAAGGGTAGCGGTTTATAATGTTTCAGAAAGACACCAACCCAGAATCTATGCCCTTATCCCCACCCCAGCAGGAGGGATACCATATAGTATACTGGCCAGCTAGGAATGTTTTTGATTACCCATCAAACTTAAATAAACATGCACTTTATCAGCGGCGCAAAAAAAGTTAAACTGTATTTTAAACCAAGTAAAAATACGGACAGTTAACCACCAAAATAGTACATGTAATAAAGAATAGGGCATATGCATACCTTTGTGTCAGTATTCGAAGAATTCCAAGCCTAATTCCGCATGCATTCTGCCATATAGAATTTAATCTGCGTGGGAGGATTGTTTACGTAAGGTGGCCCAAGAGGGACATTTCTTAAAATACTAGTACTTTACCTGTAAATTCAGAATTCATCTTGAATAGAAAAGGTCAAGAAAACCTGAATCGAAGAACATAATAAAAATAAGTGAATATATAACTATGAATAACAGAATATTTTTAAAATTAATTATGTAATGCATGAATGGATATCGAGTAATTTTATACCATTCTTTACTGAGTAAAAATTAATGAAAGAGCAATATTTTCAAGTAGGAAATGTAAAATGCAACAAGCATGACCATCATGCAATATATATTTACGAAGTTATACTTTGAATTTTGGTAATATCGTCAACCAACCGAAGTTAAAAATATTTGGATATTGATAAATTAAATATTTTGTAACCAAATAATCCGAATTTTACATATTACATCCCTTTAAGTAGTCATATTTTATTATTGCACATCCAGATAACACACTCTTATATCTTTCAACCTTATTCCCACTTTTATTGGAAGGTTAAGCACTTGCAATTGTTTAAAGAAAACAATTATAACACAAAATACTTCTCGTAATTCAGCTCATAACCCAATTTTACATGTCTATGAATATAAATTCCGCAGAGTATACATAATCTTTCACTCAATTCATTCTATACTAAAAAAAATGACAATGATTTTCACATTTTGAATTACAAATTTATTTCTTTTCAATTATGGATGATTTATGAAATTTTATTAAAAGGATTTCAAAGTACTTATGTTTACCAACCATCAATATTATATCGCAAATATATAATCAGTTACATGTAATACAAAAATGCAAGTTTGGTTTAATTTTGAAACGTGAGGGAAGTCGGGTCATTATCCATCACGTCCAAATTCAGCCTTATAAAATCTATATTTTGAACATTTCTTTTGTGACCTGTTATAAAATTTTACAAAGACTTGCTTTTGTATATGTGTTCGGAACGTTTTAATTCTCCTCAATTATCATCTATGAATATATCAATTCAAATGTTTGGAATGATAAACATTCGGAAATGTGGCTAGGAAAAACGTTTGTAAACAGAAACAATCTTCTCAGTTTTCACCATCGTGCTGATAATATATAGAAATGTTATCTCTCTTTTACATTCATTCAAACTTTAAAATCTATGATACAAAAATTAAATTGACAATGATTTTTCATCATTTTGAATTACAAATTTATGACTCAGCTGAATTCTTTTATAACAAGATTGTATAAATTATATTTTTTAATGATTTCAAAATGAAATTTTATTAAAAGGATTTCAATGTACTTGCAAACTTTTTTCTTACGTTTACCAAACCTATCGATTATTAAATGCTAGCAAATATATAATGCTTGAAATTTCAATTCACAATTTGCATCCAAATATCCATGCAAGTTTAGTTTTATTTTGAAACGTGAGGGAAGTAGACCGACGGGTCATTATCCATCACGTGAAACAATTTAATGATAGACATTTATCTTTTCGTAGTAATCACCTGAGAAGAGGCAGAATGCACGAACACGTAAGTGTTCGAAAGGATTTCTTTTGTTGACCTGTTATATAATTCGTTAAAACCCCCAAAACAAAGACTTGCTTTTCGAAAGAAATGATTCATAAAGAGTTTTTTTTCCCCGTTGACTGCTACATCTGCTGTATATTGGAGGTCAACATGCAAAGATTTATATAGATTACATTTCATATAATTAAGCAATGAGATATAGAAAACAGTTTTTCTGACGAATATACGTTTATTAAAGCTTCTTTTAATTCATATTTTTAATATTTTATTTTCATATTGCAGCTTTCTGGTTGAGAAAATTCGAACAGACAAACCAGAGAGCTACATCCAAACATCGTAAAAACCTTTGATTTACGGCGACACTTTTCTTGGTCGCTCTTGATATATATATTATTGAAAAAATCAAGCAACGGAGAACGGAATACAAAAAATGTACGCGTGTTTCTGCCAGCATATACGATATATCTTGGGGTGTTTCGTTTTCACATGTTGCTTGTCCTTTTTATACACTCGTTGCCCTCACTTTACTTACGTACTATGGCACTAATGGGCTTCGGTAACAAAACACCTAGTTAGCATAGTCATATCTCAGAATATTATTTATCCCAGTTTTAAAATAAAAATAATAAAATTTGTTTTTTTGGGCAATGGCGCATGCGCACGCCGTTTGACTTATTTCTTTGCCTATTTTAATTAAATTTTTTTATTTATCAATTTTATGAGCCCGGGAAATATATTGTTAACATTTCACTTTTAAATTACTATATGGAATTTTAATTAATTTTGATTAACATTTATTTCTGAACATTATTTGTCAGTTTTCAAAAAGCTACTAGTAATTAAATGATAAGAAATATATTTATGACATAATATCTTATAACAACTAATGGATTGCAATTCAATGTTTATAAAACCATTAATTTTGAATAACTACTCCCACCCCAATCCCCATATACCAACATATAAACTTATATGTATAGAGCAGCCCGGTCCTCCGGGCTGCAATAAGGCTCTGACAGATGCACAGGAGAGACATTGAAGATAAGTCGAGCTTCAATAACTCATGAATTAATGGACAAAATCAAATGGGTTGTTATCCATCACGTAAACATTAACTTAATAATAGAAATAACAGCGACAAAAAATGATCACCATTACGATAAAGATGTTGCTTGAAATTCCTCACTTTGTGTACTATGGCACTAATTACAAAGCTGAACATCATATCTCAGAATATTATCTCCCTTAGTTTTAAAATAAAAATAATAAAATGGACAATATTCTTCCTATTTTAATTATTTATTTATTTATTTTATGACAAGATTGTTAACATTTCACTTTTAAATTTTTTATGAATTTTAATTAAACAGTAACATTTACTGAACATTACCAGTTGAAAAACTATATAATTAAATCAGAAATTTTATGAAATTATCTTATAAGCATCCAAAAAAGCAAGTTTGGTTCAATTTTGAAACGTGGGGGGGGTTGTTAACCATCACGTAAGCCATAGAAGAAAACAGCAAACATACATGAAAGATGAAATTTCGTTATTCACAGCTGAACATCACTGAACAAGTAGGTTACCTTCCTTTTGAGAAAACAACAAAACTAAATCTTTTTAGTGTAATCAATATAGTTGAAACAGTGATAGTGTACATGACAAACTGTGATATAGTTGATTGTGATTCTTTATTTTTCATTATAATTTTATTGATTATCATGTTCATGTATTATTACATGTATCTTGACCTATTATACAAGGAGAGGGTGTACATAGGCCTTGCCTGTTGCCCAATCCTTATTGAATTATTCAATAAAATATGTTTAAAGTGACAAACTGTGATATAATTCAGTTTAATAATATCTTATAAGCCCGTGGAAAGCAATTTCATTTGGGGGGGGGGGGGGGGGGGGCACAACCAATTTTCAGTTGGGGGCAAAAAAACTTGACAAGCAAATTACAAAAAAAGTTATCAGACATTATATTGGGGGGGGGGGTAGCTTTGTTTTCTATGGTGTTCTATAATATCTACAAAATTAGGCGGGGGGGCACAGTTCCTAAGGCCATGTTTTAAACCCCAGCCTGGTCCCCTGAAGTCAGACAATTATATGTAGTACTAAGGATGCCTTATACTGAGCTATCCAAAACCTGTGTTTTAAAAATGTTGTTCATTTAAAATTATTTCAGAAGTTATACTCATGTCAAATTTTCAATACATTCTGTTCTCAGTTTGTGGTTTTGCGGCTAACTGCAGATCTGTAGCTTGCTGGTCTGAATAAAAATTGGATGGATTAGGATGATCAGAGACACAGATCTCTGGTCGTCCACCCTAATTTCTTCAGACCAGTGAGCTACAGATCTGCAGCTAGAAGGAGTAGAGCACAGGGGCATCTTAGTATATTCACTTGTGTATTTATACATATATGTAGTAGAGAACAATTAGAATATAGTGTTTAAGATGCCCCTGTGTCAGTGAGTATAGTTTTACAGGTGTTCAGTGGTCACTTTGAGTGCTTTCAACTTGTAAAAATGTTTTTTTTTTTAAAACCATCTCCAAATAATATTCAAAGTACCCAGTGAATAAGCTGTAACAACATATATATAAAAAAGATTAACACTTTACTTTAAAAGGAATTTTAGTAATATATGTACATGTACAATGCATTTAAATGAAATATAGTTTTTAATAAATACCAGTATTTGGATTAGAAATTCTACAAATACACAAGGACAATGAACCAAACACATTATGTAAAATATATAAAAATTTATTTTCAAAAAAGTCAATATGAGATATAAATAATTTGACATCAGGGTTATGTGAGACTTTTTTGTTCTGTTCTACTGTCGAGCATCTTTTGGACTTTCCTACTACCATAAAGTACAGATTTCACTATTCCTGCGGTGAATATGCCTTTAATGCTCTGGCTTCTGCTGGAACTCTTCACAATATCTGCAATACTCTGTCTCACATAGTCCGCACAGTTACTGTCAAAAGCTAGCTGTCTAATGATTTCCTCTAAGTCAGGGTATTTCCCTGGCCTTTTGTGCATACAAGATAAAAGATTTAACTGAACTGTTTTTGGAAGAAGGTTCAAGTGATGAAATTGGGACACATGATTGGGGTATTGTTCTAAGACACCTTGCTTCATATTCCATTTGACATGTTCCTCTTTTAATAAAATTTGTTCGTAAAGGTTCCTAAAGTAAGCCATATTTGGTTTGACAATATTAGAAATTTTGTTTTTGTCTTCACCAAATTTCATCCTGAAGTCACCATCGTACGAGAGGGCAGCAATCTGCTGATACAGTTCCTCCTCCGTGAAAGTTTCTGGAAGTAAAAGTAATGCTGCATGTATGGCATTCTCCAGATTAATTTGCATAGCCGAACACAGCTCCATCTTCTTGGGTGAAATAAGAATTTTGATTGGTTTATGCATTCTACCACTCACATACAAAGTGTTCCAATCCAATAGGTCAGTTATAAGTTGTTTAGTGCTTATAACTCCATATTTAATTTCTCTCCCCGCACACTGAACTTTAGTATTGAAATAAACAGCAGCACCATACTTCTCTTGAATATTTGAAACTTGTTTTGCTCCCAAAAATTTTAGGAATGAATAGTGTTTCCCATTTTGTTTCATATTTTTGTAATGCCAGCTGTATGAATCATCTACAACAAATATCAAATCAATCATATTTCCCTTAACTTGGGCATCACTTTGACCCTCCTGTTTAAATACTCCAGATCCATAAGCAAATGCCATTTGTATTCCTCCAGGAAACTGCTCCAAGATAGCTTCATACTGATCCAAATGCTTTGAGGGATTACTGTAGGTTGCATATCGTTTTACACAAAACACTGAACGACAAACTGAAAGTCGAGATAAAACAGACCACATCATTTCTCTCGCTCAAACACACCAACACCGTCCACTTCTGAATTCTTCAGATTATCAAGTTGCTTTTTTCCCAACCTATATTGATACTCTATCCTCAATGTGTCTGTTCGAGGCAATTTTGCATTTTTGCGGAACTCAGTACGGATTATTTCTTTTAAACCTGGTTTATCTTTTGAGAGTTTTAAAAATTCCTTGTAGAGGCTTAAAATTTGAAGCTGAATTTGACTGTGTTTTGGCATGACAAGTTTTATCAACTTGAATCTGAAATGGAAAAAAGAATCATGTATTATTTGTATATCTTGTAAGAATATCTTGTTAATCAATTAATAAATTGCACACATACTCAGTTTAGGCCTTGGTACATTAACAAATACTTAGATCAACCAGAGACTTATATATAGGCCTATCGGTCCCTGGATCAACTATAGTACTATTTATTCAGGGCATGTGTCGAGGAAATTCTGACTTATCTATATATCACGTTAAAAATCTCATTATTTTTAGGTTAACGTATTGAAGACAATAAAAATATCTAACATTGTTAATTTACTATTGAGGAGATGGTATTAATTTTATGTATATTAATTTAAACACAATGAACACGCCTACCAGGATCAATTTGTCCTTCCATAAGCTGACTGCATTCTGATTCTGGTTCCTATCATATGGAAAGCGAACCAGCAAAATATTTAGTAAAGCGTACACATGTGTCATGACCCTTTCTTTATTAATTTGAAAGACTTATAAAGATTGTTTTAAAAAAATTATTGTTCTCTGTTTTTTCTACACTAAACTGAAAGAATTCGATGACATTTAACAAGATAAAAATCTTGATAAAAGAATACGCTTTACTTCGAAATAGAAATCGTTCGAGTTAACCAACAAGTTAAAAATAGATATTTTATTTATAGACCTTTATAAACACATTTCATTTTGATTTTCTTCTATATTAACGAGGATAGCGTGTGTAGCAGTTCTGTAACGATTGATTCGATGCCAGGAGACGTGATTCACCTCAATGTAGGAGGAACAAGGTAAGAAAAGAAGTAATTTAGTAAAATTTCGTTTGTTAAAAATTTTCTGCAGCAAAGTAGTTGCATTTGATTTGTTGTTGCTCATCAAATATGGTTGCTCCACTATTACATGAGAGTTTCTTTTTCATACAGGTTTTCAACATCAAGACATACCCTGACATGGATTCCAGATTCGTTCTTTACAAGGTATGATTAAATCTTAAAAAAGAAAATGCATTGAGTGAGGTACTGTTTAAAACAATATAATGCCCAATTTTTTTAGCCTAGTATCCCCTGGCATGTTCTTGAAATCAAGGGTGGCGGTCAACCGAGTTTGATTGCTGATGGCCAGATAGCTCAGTCGGTAGAGCACCTGATCAGAGATTCAGGGGGCCAGGGTTCGAATCCCGGTCTGTTCCACTGCATTTTCTCCTCTCCCTTTACATTTGATGTCGTGACCATGCCCTAGAACCAGAAATGAGCGGGGGTTGGGGTCTTTAGAGGCCAAAGACCTTTAAGGAGGGAGGAATGTGGCAGTCAGCTGGGTTCGTTCTCCGCTGGCCAATTGTAGCTCAGTGGGTACAGCACCTGACCAGAGATTCAGGGGGCCCAAAGTTTGAATCATGGTCTGGTCTACTGCATTTTTCTCCTCTCTCCTAACACAAGTAAATATTCTCCTTTCTCCTAACACAAGTAAATTTGCAAAATTTACTGTCAAAACATTAGATCCTCCTAATTATGTTCCCCAAACGAAGTTGGGGAACATATTGTTTTTACTCTGTTTCTTATTATTATTAAGGTCTTCCATTTCCAACGGAAGACCTTTCTGTTATTCTTAGGTTTCTTTTCCAGTTTTTTTCTTTTTTTTCTTACCGATTTTGTGCACGCGAGTTCTCGGAAACGGCTTGTTCGATTTTCATGAAACTTTCAGGGCTGATGGAACATCAAAAAATCTAGATATATATTTTTTAATTTTGATGACGTCACTTCCGGTTCCGAGATTTTTGCATTTTAGTGAATTTCAGAGGGTTAGTTTGTCCGCGAGTTTTCTCGAAAACGGCTTAAAATAGAAACTTGAGATTTTCAGTGATAATAGAGCAATAAATGTAGTTGTGCGGAACGTATTTCATATTCACCGAAATTGCTTTGTACGGAAGCTAGTTTTGGCCCGAAAATAGTCCTATCGCGAATTTCAAAAATTTTTACACCTTTTCATCGATAACTTTTTACCTAGAAATATTTTTTTAAAACATGTATAACAAAAGAAGTGTAGAATTCCAAGATCTTTCAAATGATATCTCGAAAAAAGGGCTGGCCCCTAAAATTAAGGGCCTAGCGGGGTCGAAAGTTTTTCTTTTATATCTCAAAAAGTATTGAGAATTTGTAATACGTCAAAGAAGCAAAATTGTTCAAAATGTTAAGCTTCATTTATTGGAGTCATCAAAATACGTCCGGCGACGTCACTTCCGGCCAAACCGGAAGTAGTCAGAAAACGCATATTTTGGCCGTTCTTGACAAGATTTTGGGTATCATCTGTCACTGGGAGCCTAAAAATTAAATTTCCATCCGTCGTCATCACTTCCGGTCAAACCGAAAGTAGCAAAAATTAGCTTATTTCTGCTTTAATTAACATAGATTTTGAGGATTTAAACCATTTTTCGGCATTATTACTCAATTTTGTTACAAATAAAAGTAACTTCCGGTCAAACAGGACGGAAGACCTACTCGTTGCTTTGCAACGAGCTTTGCTCTAGTTATGTTCCCCAAACGAAGTTGGGGAACATATTGTTTTTACTCTGTTTCTTATTATTAAGGTCTTCCGTCTTCACGGAAGACCTTATAGTGATTCTACTGTTTCTTATTATTCTTTTTATTATTTTTTTGACTTTATAATTTTGTGCACGCGATTTCTCGAAGACTACTGGATGGAATGACGTAAAACTTTCAGAAAAGATGTGTCGTAACATGAATTTTGTATATCCGAGAGAAAATTTGGAAACTCACTTCCGGTGCCAAGTTACGGACAATTTCCTGAAATTAAAATGACATTTTGTCCTCGATTAAACTTAAAAACGGTAAAAGATATCAACATGAAACTTTCAGGGATTATAGATCGTGATATATACTATCCAGGACGCGACTTTATGTTCGTCGTCGGTACTTCCTGTCGTTAGGTGAAGGGGATTGAAAAAATCGCATTTTCTAACTTTTTTGTTTTTCAATATTTTTTATTTATTTTTGGAATATTAATAGAGACACTTCTATTGATGCTTACTATATAAGTTGTTTGAATATTGGTTAATCTGAACTCTAGATATTAATATTTGAAAATCTGAAGCGGGTCCAAGATGGCGTCTGCCTCTGTCAACTCCGCCATTTCGCGAGTAGGGGTTTATGGAGGCAGCTGAGCGTTTGATTAAACCATTCTGACATAATGATACATGAAATGTAAAAAACTACTTGGACTTTCACGTAGTAGTACGTTGTAATTACGTGTCAATCTTAAAACTTAATTTCCGTTTCACTGCTTTAGTTTAACTGGGCTAGATACGATATGTAATGTGTACAATGTGTTAAATATACCTTCTTAACGTCGAAATAAAATAAAGGCGATAAGAACGTTTTATTAATTTAATTTCATTGAAGCTATCACACCTATTTAATAGATCAGTCCAAAGAAAAGGTGCAAACATTTACTCATGGCGTTTGGCGCGAAATTATGAATAGTGGCCGGTCGTTTATAATTCTTAGACAGGTGTACTGTTGCAAATGTATACACAAGTATATTTAGAGCACTGCTCCCAATAGCTTAATGGTTTTCGTGTTAATCAAACACGAAGTAATTACGTTACAATTCTGTGTCAAAATAAAGATGTATTCCAGAGTCTTCTCAAACGTCTTCTGTGACTGGTTTTGGTTGGTTCTCAAAGTAGAAAAAGAAAAGACTAAATGTGCAAATGAGAGATACCTACCATCATTTGCTTTACAAGATGGAAATACAGATCTTTAATCATAGTTAAAAGTTATAGTTTTTTCAAGAAACAATATCGATGCATGTACATATAGTAAGTATAAAACGTATAACCACTGTTTTTCCCATGCACACTTGTGTGACATTAAACGAATAGAAAAGACAAAAATAAGAAAACCATTTTAATAAGATCGTCTAATGTAGTTTAAATTAACATTCTTTTCTCAAAGATCTGAATCAAGTTATTGAACATGAATGGTATCTGATTCCTTGACTGTCGTAGAGCGAGGCATGTTTTTTCGGCGAAACATTTCAACCTTTTTTTTTAAGTGTAACTAGTCGGTATAGTTCACTTCTGAGACGGAAAAAAAATTAAATTATGGTAATTTTCACTGCTTTTGTGTTACTTTTCTGTAGAATGTGTACAGTGTGTTAAATATATTTTCTAAACCTCGAAATGTAGGCTATGAGAACGTTCTTTTTTCTTAATTTCATTGAAGCTATCACACCTATTTAATAGATCAGTCCAAAGAAAAGGCGCGAAGATTTAACGTGGCGTTTGGCGCGAAATTATGAATAATGGTCCGTCTTTTATAATTCTTAGACAGGTGTACTGTAGCAAAAGTATACACAAGTACATTTAGAGCAGCACTCTCAATAGCGTAATGGTTAGCGCGTAGGGGATAAAAGGGAAAAAAAGCGGATCGGATTTTCGCGCTGGCGACCTGGATTCAATTTTTGACCAAAATTTTTTATTCACCTCTCAGCTCGACTTTACGAGTTTTTTTTCCAGAATCGGACGGAAGACCTCTCGTTGCTCGCAACGAGATCGTTTCTAGTTATTATTATTAAGGTCTTCCGACTTCCTTCGGAAGACCTTATTGTTATTCGTCTGTTTTTTATTATTATTATTATTATTCTTTTTTTCATAGTTAGGGCGATATCTCAGCTGTGCGTGGACGGATTTGGAAGATTTTTACAGGGATGATGCATCATGAAAATATCTCCAGACGTGTTTTTCATTTTTTCAAAATTCACCTTCGTTCGCGATTTTTGGGGATTTTTGTATTTTTTAAAAGGCATTTTGTCCAGCAGTTTTCTCGAGAACGGCTAAAGATATGAAAGTGAAACTCACTGAGGTGATAGAACATCAAACTCCATTATGGGGAACGGCCTTTATTTTTCGTCGTCGGCACTTCCGGTCGCAAACGGAAGTGAATTCAAAAAGTCCCATTTCTCAACTCTTTTGTTTTTCAATATTTTTCTTTAGAATTTACAGGGTTAATAGTGTGTCTTATGAGAATTCTAAATATGTGTTTAGTATCTTGATGCGTGCATATATTGAAAAGATATGACCAAACCAAACTTTCTCCTACCGTCGGGGGTTCGAATCCCGCTGTGGGCGTTTCAAATTTTTTTTCTTTGTTTCTGTCTTTTTTCAGCTTCAAATGACTTTTATATCTTTCATATCACATATGGAATATTTTGCCGATTTTTAAAAGCTTTTTTTTGAGATTTTTGAGGAATACCTGTAATTATCATGATATATGTTGAGAGACTGTTGTAAATAAACGTGAGCAAAAAATACATTCTGAAATCTATTTCATGGGATGACGCAGCATAGAACTCTAAAGAAAAGTCGGTCGGAAGACCTGCTTGTTGCTCCAGCAACAAGAACGCATCTAGTTATTATTATTTTTCTTCTTCTTCTTCCTGGGTACTTTTTTGTCCGGGAATGATCTTGTAAACTGTTCGTCCGAGGTAGGTTAAACCTTTTTAGGGTAAGTAGACATGTTATGCAGATTTGCGGAATCAAGGTCATTTTGCGCGCACGTGCTTGCAAGAGCGCGCACGTGCAACACTTGAAATAACCAATATAATAGATATAGTCGGAACTTTTCTATTTTTTGATAAAATGCTTTGAAACTCATAATGTAAGGATACATTAGTAGTATAGACAAGATGGCATGGTCAAAATAGCAAGATCTCACGCGCATGCACGTGCGCTTCGCTCTGATTGGCTGAAACTAAAGTCTCAATATCTTTCTTGTTTCTTGTCATAATCTTTTGAAATTTTGAACATGGTCCTACATTATGAAGATCTAGAGCATGATATATTAAAATTTTAATAAAAGCATGCGCATGCGCATGTGCTGTAATCTGATTGGCTAAAACTTTAAATGGCTATATCTCCTTTGTTTTTTGACGAAGTGCTTTGAAATTTAAAACATAGTCA